GTCCCTCGTGTTGTGCACTACCTTCACGATAGCATTGAGGTTAAAGCCTTTCCAAATATCAACTTTAATTGCTTTTGTACACGAATCACAACCATTAAAGACCATAAAAGTTGTAACAAAAGATATTAATGCTTATCGATATATTTAGGGATCTATTTTATATGAACAACGAGCACGACAAACGATGTTCTGTTAAGTAAATTATGAATTATTACTAGTGTAAAACATATATTATATGTATGTTTAGCAGCCCACCCCCACTTGATAAGGGTGGATATGGGTATTTTATGATTACATATTTATATACCGTCTGTAGTTCACAGTAGTGCACATTTAAATAAAACACTTTAACGGTTTTAAACGCGATATATATTAATTATGCGCTAGTGTAGCAGTTTTTACTTTGGTATTATAATCACCCTCCATCTTTAGTCCCCCCGTGACCAGGCTGTTGCAAAGCATTGTTAACGCCAGACCGTAAATAAATAATTTCCAAAATAAGTTCAAGTATATATCGCATTTTAAACCGTTTAATTATTGTATTTTAACATATTTATACGTTTTTATTTGTTGCCTTCCATTTATTATCTTAAAAATGAGAAATTTTAGTTAATTCTTATTTATAGTTTTATTTGATTTGGTATGTTTTAATTTAATTATAAAATAAAAGATACAACACACTTATTTTACAAATCACTAAAAAAATATTAAAATCGTGGAAAATGTGTCAGTAAATAACTGACTGAAACATTTGACTTTTTCTTTTTTTTTCACTTGAGTGTGGCACACTCGACACTTCGGGCGGCAGGCGCGGGTCCGCCGTAGTTGTATTACTACGTCCGCCATTGGACTCTTCACACCAGAGCAGTTGAGCGGGGCAGGCGCAGCGCAATTGCTAAACGGTTGTAATTTAAATTTAAATTAAATACGATATTAGTACTTAGAGGAGCTACATACTTAACATTTAATGTTCAGAAATTATCATTGCCCATCCGTGGCATTGGCCGGGACAAGCCAAGATTAGGTTCACACAAATGCACGCGATCTGCCAATTTTCTTCACCGAAAACACCTGCCGACAGCCTTAACACTCGAGGTCAGATTTAATTTTACGATAATCACGTTTTTATGTACTAGAAATGTCAGTTTTGTGTAGATTAGTGTTATTTATTGAGCTCCTATGTACTTAGGAACCGGAATTAAAATATGTAATACAAAATCCTCAAAAGTGACGTCTAACTCATTGTCAATTCGATACTGTACGGTACTGATTTTGAAGATTCTTTTTTTGTTGGAAAGTAGACTTGTCAAGTTGTCACCGACTTTAACAGTGTCTGATTAAATAACCATTCATATTCTAAGTCGTAAATTACTTTGTGCGAAGTAGGTTCATTTTTCTTTTTACTTTCCTGCTTGCGAGGAAGGCAGTATTTTATGTTGATAATTGTTTAATATTAATTGTCAAAACTTTCGCAGCCATTTTATTATTGGGTTGTTAAGATGAAGCCAAGTAAAAAATCTAGTATTGTGTAAGTATAGTACATAATTAAAAACAAAGGTTTTAGCTTTGATTATAAGCTATACAAAGCAAAGAGGTGTTAGTTCTAATCGCGGCAAAATTTTGTTTAATATTTTTTATAGAAATTGGATCTTGTCTGAGTTTTCGAAGAATGTTTGCCTACAAATAGTGCCCACTAGAGTGAATGTTTGAATAGTATGGAAAAAAGGACTTTACTTTTATTCCGCACCAAATTAACATAACTCGGCGACACATACGACGCCAAGCGAATTAGGGTCAAGTTCAATAGATAGTGTTACGTAGGACGGATTGAACGGGCGACAGCAGGGAAGCCCTCACGCTTCGCCGCGCTTCGCCCCGCAAGGACGCTGAACATCAAAGTCTGCCATCGCTAATTATCCCCTCCGACGAACAGGATCGATCTGACACATATTTATACGATCTGAGATGAGGCCATTTCAAATATGTAGGTCATTAGGTTATATTTTTCATAATTGCATTTTTATTGTAGTGAGTCTGTGAACCCAAAAGCAGTGATAGAACGGTTTTGTTCGGCAAATTAACTTATTACAACGAAAAAAACCTACTGAAATATTTAAGTTATTTAATTGCTACTGCGTATGAGCTTCAGCAGTCAAGCCGTACTTAAAAGTCAATTAACTCCGCGTTTTTAACCGTTAAAAGTTTTTTGACAATTTATAATATAGGTAACTGCATTATACTCATAAACAACTCTTTATATAGATTAAATAAACAAAACCACCTATATACTTAATTGTTACTTAACAAATAACCCTATAGTAGTTATTATAATTATTGTACATTTTTATCTGATATATTCGGATAATTTTGTGAGGATGTGAGACTAGTTTCCAATAAATAAAAAAATTATATACTTACGTAAAAATATAAACATGAATAAGTACGTAAAATTGTTTACAAGAATTGAATATATGCAAATCTTTAAAAGGTAAACTTAATCTAGACCGTGAAGAAATGATTAAAATGTAGAACACCGATTTGTGACACACTTAAACAAAATATACGATTTACACTAATATAGTATATATACATATTGCATTTTGTTGTTTACACATATTTACAAAACTTTCTCGCACCTTCGATAGCTCAGTTGGTAGAGCGGTGGACTGTAGAGGGAAATTCGCTGTAATCCATAGGTCGCTGGTTCAAATCCGGCTCGAAGGAGTTTTTTATTTTTTTTATTACACTTGTTTCTTATGAAATACGTGTTTATTGTGATAATTTTAGCATGGAGATCATCGGAGATGATTTGGAAAAATATTCTCTATTTCAATAAACATTGAAATGAGACAGTTAAACGGTTAGAACGCGAAATGAATTAGTTAACTTTTTTACTTCTTCTTTAAGATGCTTCGCAGCAGCCGTAGTCATGGGGGGACTAAATGTGACTGTGTCAAAAATCTGCTACGCTGGTGCCTTCTTTTTCCTCGTAGTTGATATTTGGAGAAACTAGCTCGGTCCTTAATAAATTGTGACCTTTTGATTATCAATGACTTTTTGAATCTAGTGTCCTTAATACGTTCCCAGGTATTAGATATTTTAATGCTGTCCTCCCTATTAATATTTGGGTATTAATTGATTTCAGGTAGATTTTCATGGTACGTACAGATCAAACAAGAACTGGTAATAATCTCGCCATCACATTTTTTATCACCAAGTTTTTCACTTACTTTAAGTGTAGGATGCACACTATGTAGTTTATATTATGGCATTCCAAATAAATATTCCTGCGCGTCTATGGCTAAAAGGATGTTTAGACGGCACTTCTCATAATAAAGACGTTTAACGATCCTAGCACGTAGTTTAATGCAAACGACTCACTTTAAGTACAGGTGTACCGTAAGACGCATTAAAACGCCTGCTTTTTAAACTTATGCGGTGTTTGTCTTAGCTATGCGATAAAATAAAAACCCGACTAAGTGCGAGTCGGAATTGTGCACGGCGGGTTCCACAGGTTACGTGTATTTAACATTATTATATTGTATAGAACGAACGAACTGAATATTTGGAATTCTTAAATAAAGTGTTTTTTCTTTTAAAAAGGAACTTCTCCGAGCTTAATGTTTTAAGCTTAGTTTGACTTCGTATTACTCGTTATACCTGCAATAAGAATATGTAATTACAAATAAATTCAAGTGTAGCCTTGGGCATGAAACCCTAAACAGTGCTCGAAAATAAAATAACGCCAAAATGTGGCGTTATTTTATTTTCGAGCACTGAACAAAAACCTATCTTTATATAATTTTTTTTTTTATTTTACACAAAGTATTTATTTCTTCGAGAAAGTTTGCTTGAATAATATCGCCAAAACAGCTAATGAACTCAGACGGGGAATCCCCTTAATTTAGTGTGGTGTCGTTAGAACTATCAAATTTTTGCTTTTGATATGTATTGTATAAATTATTATTGATGGTTTCAAAGAAAAGTCGTTATGAATATTTTAACTTTTTAATAGGGATAACTTATATAATATGTAAGGGATAATCCCCATGATTCTCTAGTAATAGGGATAAAACCATTCATTAAATGGAGAATCACATTTTATCACCTTAAATAAATAGAGTCAACAGTAAGCATAATGTTAAACAATTTATCTGTAAATTAGTCATCTCCGAGTTCCGCTGGCGCTTTTGTGTAGGCAATCGAGTCACAGGCTAAACCGAACAGTAGCCCAATGTTTCGACAGTCCGCATTCATAAAATTGTAAATCCGCGAAGACTTGAGCGACTGTTCGATTATACACTATGTACGGGCGGTGGGCGTCGTCCAGACTCCTAAGTCCCAACGTGATTGACAGCTCCCCAGTTCCCCACTGACGGTGCGCACTCGCAATAATAATAGCTTTCGCATTTCACACTCAATCTGCTTTACAGTATCGTAGTTTAAGTAAAAGTCCCTTAGATACACGCGCACCACCATATACACACTAGCGTACCTAATCTCTTGTTATACACAGAAACAACGATACTAAAAAGTTTGTGTAACATGGCCGTATGCAAGAGGAAAAACTAATTTTTTATCTATGTACAACGACGCTTGCACAAGCAAGTCTCCATAGCCCAAAGCTCTACACGGCCAAAGCCGTCCACGCGTTCTGCGGAAACGGAAGAGCTATTGAGTCCAAGAAAATGCCACGAGCACTGTTCTAGGAGTCAGGTAGTTTAGCGACCGCTCGCTTCGAAACCTGTAGATAGCATTTCACTAACACTTCAGTATTTATACACATGTACAACGCCACACAGTGCGGTCGCCGACCACCGAATGAATAGCTGTCTCTAGTGCGAGAGTTCGCGCTCGGGTTCCACCCGGGAGTGGTATTGTGCACTGTGTCATTAAAAAAATAGGATAAAACTCATGATCGTCTGTCCCGAATCGCACTACACAGTAAGGTCCTATCTGGGCGGGCGCGGGCGCCTCGCGGTGCGGCGGCGGTGTCTCGGCTAGGAGGAAGAGCCCGCGAACATGGCGGCGGAGAAGGTGGGCTGGTGCGCTTGCGCGGACGCGGCGCCGGCGCCGGGCGCACCGCGGGGCTTCGGCATCGGCGGCTGCAGGTACTCGTGCCGCGCCAGGCCGAACACGTCGATGCGCTCCTCCTTGCGGTACGCGAGGCACGCGCGAATGAAACTCTGCGAAGATCGAGATAGTTTTTTATTTATTGTACGAAGAGAAATAATAAGTATTATTAACAATTTGTAAATTTGAAATGATAAAATAATTTGACTGTTTCCATTGCATGTCCTGTATCAATTTTACAGCCCTATTCAATAAACAGGAAAATTTACCTAAATTCATTTTCATAAATTTTCAAGAAGTGACGTACTAGAAAATTTACACAAAAACATATTGTAAAACACTACACACTTTTGAAACGTATGTCAATATTATAAAGCGTATAAAATCTTCTGTTTCTCACCTTAGCCTCATTGCTGACAGAGGGTTTGTTGGCGAACTGAACCTCGGTGGCCTTCAGTATGGTATTCTCCTCGAGAATGGTCGCCTGGCTCTGGTTGTGTCCGAAGGGCTTTTTGCCATAGAGGCACTGGTAGAAGATCACGCCCACGCTCCACACGTCCACCTTGCTACTGATCTTTGGTGGGTTCTTGCCGACCACGAAACATTCAGGGGGCAGATACCTGTGACAAGTAGAATGTAAGTAAAGTGGTGGAATTTACCACATATAATCCGAATTGAAATGCGATTTAAATTAAAAAAAATGAAGAAAGCAGGCAGGACTTAAAAACATAGAGTTCCATGTTGCTGCTTGTTGCTGCACTAACCAATTGAGTTGCTAACTCGCTAAACTTCTAAGCTATTATTAAATATATACTCAAATTGTTAGGTTTATAATATTCTCGGACGACTACAAGGCTATGTTAACTAAACATGTAAACTAACCAATAGGTACCAGCTCCTTGGCTCGTGAGATCCATCCCGTGGTCGGGATTGTAGTTCTCTTCGTCCATCACCTTCGAGAGACCGAAATCTGTGATCTTGATTTCGCCGCAGACGTTCCCTTCAGTTAGGAGAATGTTGCCCGGCTTCAGGTCGTAGTGGATAACGGGGGGTTTGATCTCGTTCAGATACTTGAGCGCGGAGACCACTTGCATCACTATCGAGCGGGCTTCGCGTTCCGGTATTGTCTTGTGCTGAAGGAAAATACGAGTTAGTGGGCTTTAATTGCTAAAGACATAATACAAGGGACATTTAAAGCTAAATACTGTCTGTAGTTTACGCGAGGAGTACACATTTAAATGAAACACTTTACAGTTTAAAACGTGATATATATTAGTTTCCTTAAGTGACCGTACCTTAAAAACCTTAGTTAACTTATTTGAAAATTATTTTAACTACGGCCTGACATTTCGAATGCTTTGCAGAAGCCGTGGTCATGGGGAGACAATATGACATAGTAATATATATCGCGTTTTAAACCGTTAGTGTTTTTTTTTTAGAAAACTTAGAGCTTTTGAGGTCGAGCGTAGTTCGAGGTTACGCAATTTTCGTTGTGAAGGACAGTCGATTTTTTATATCTTTATAAGAATTAAAAAGGGGTAGGTCTCATTATTGATTTATGATGATATACTGAAAAAGAGAAGTAGAAATTTGAAAACATTCCATTCTGCCCTAGACCAAACAGAACATATCTTATCTAGATACATATTTCCGCACCGATTCACCGAGGGCACACGATAGGCGAATTTACCTGCTTCAGATAAAAGTCGAGATCATGTCCGTTGCAGTATTCGAGCACAGTGCAGAACGAGTTGCCATCGATTTCGAAGACGTCGTAGAGTTTCACGATCCGCGGGTGGTCGAGGGCCTTGTGGATGTTGTACTCCCGCAGCGCGTGTCTGGAAGAAGTTCATACGTCATTCATTACAAAGTCACGATTTATTCTATTGGTTTACATAATAAACAAATATCATTAAACAACAGGTTCAACTTGCTTAAAAATGATTTTTTAATAATAAATTCTGTTCGGGCCGCAAACCAGCCTCAATAGTGAAAAGCCTAATGAACAGAAAGTTAGTATAGGCCGACAGAGCATATTTTTAAGATATCAGATGGCCGAGGTATTTCACCTTACACCGACAGAGCCCCAGGTTTGTCTGTGTCATCTTTTATTATAAAAAATCAAAGCTGTACAATTTAACACACACAGTAATAAATATTCATTTACAAATAGATACATAAACACACATATATAAGTGGCACACGTGTATACGGACTCACTTGATATAGTTGGCCTTCTTGTCCTCCTTCCAGTCCTTATTGAGCTGGTGCACCTTGCAAGCGGTGTAGCGCTGCTCCCGTAAGTCGAACGCCTTGTGGACCTCGCTGAACCCGCCCTTTCCGAGTAGCATCAGCAGCAAATATCTGCATGCATTAATATTAGCTCATAATTCATAGAACATTGAAGGGATGGGGGTGGATGTTTTTCGTTCAAACCGTCTGTTACGCATTATGTTAGTGGATGCCTTCATACTGTACCTATTTAGATAATACCAAGATCATTTACAAAAACTTTTAGTAGCTCTCATAATGTCAATTCAAATGAAAAACTTTCTCACGTACAAGTTAATGCACGACAAAATGGCGGATGTGGCTCGAGTGCGGTCGACCGTGTCATATTACTCAATCTTATGTTATCAATTGCAATTTTTAAAACAATTTAACAATTTTAATAGTAATATAATAATAATAATATTTCTTAGCAATAATTTGAGCGTATGTGGAATCTCGTTTACCCCCGTTTGGCTTGGGGCGGACACATGTCCATTTCACTGATTCGTTTTATACACAGGCTAATAGTTGATCAGATTTCTGTACCCTACCTGACCGAAACAATCCATTGTTTCCCTAGGATACGAACCTAGGACCTCTTATAGGCAGTCAAATTCCTTAGCAACTAGATAAATTATTATTCATTTATATATTTACTAGCTGATCCGGCAAACGTTGTTTTGCCATTTTTTTGTTGGAAAAATGATTAAATAACAAAAATGGCTATTAAAAATAAGGGTTGATTGTAGAAGGGTGAAAATTGAGGATTGTATGTATTTTTGTATGTTGTATCATAAAAAAATAGAAATTAAAAATTTTGTTTAAAAAATAAATAAAAAAATTAGGGGTGGACTACCCCTAACATTTAGGGGGATGAAAAATAGATGCTGGCCGATTCTCATAGATACCGGATAAGCACAAAAAATTTCATCAAAATCGGTCAAGCCGTTTCGGAGGAGTATGGCAACGAAAACTGTAACACGAGAATTTATACATTAGATGTGGTTTATATATTAGCTGATCGGGAATATCTATTGCGAACTATCAATATCATCTTAGAAAACCTGATATTCGAAAAAGTATTACCTAAAATATGTTTATTAAAATCTAAAAGCCACTGTTCTTACTACATCCAGACAAACATACCGATCAGATAACACTGGATGCTGTGAAAAACGACTCTGATCCTCATTGTGTATCCGCTTCAACTCTCTTATGTGAAGGTTTCTCTCTCTTTCCAATTTCTCCATTTCCAGTTGCAGGTCTGCATCTTCCTTCTTTAGTGCACTTTGTCTTAACTGTAATTAAATATGAAATAAGCAAAGTCGCAATTTTAAAGGTCTAATAATAACCACGATCATAACATGTTACTATGTTATTATTTATGAAACTGAACATAAGAGTTTTAGCAAAGGCGGGAATTAAGCATCCATTAATACAAAGCCATAATTATATCTCAAGGTCGAGAAGAATTGTAAACACTGATATTTTCGCTAGAAATTGCGGCACGTCCAATTACCTAAATAAAATAGAAGGTTCAGTTACTTTCTAAATTGTTCAATAGTAACTAGTTACTAGATTTCCAAATATCCAAAGCCGTGCAGCTTATTTAAATATTATACGGCAGAGGTATTTAACAGGTTATCAAGTGAACCCAAGCTCCTCTGTCTTCCTCTTTAAAAAAAATCTGTTAAAGTCTCTCGCCAATTCTGCGAAAATTTTCTTAGCATTTCGTCACCCTCTCATAATAAATACCACCCTCATACCTTTAGAATTTCATCCGCCTCGTAGTACTCTTGCCACGTCATACTGGGCAGCGGGTCCGGCTTGAGGAAAGTGGGCGGATCCGTGCCGTTATGCAACGGCTGCGGTGTCGTCGGCGCGGCGACGCTGGACGTTCGCTTGCCACGCCCACCGCCACCTTCGCTGTTCGACGGCCTCTTCTTGATTAGCAACTTCTTTTGACGGTCAATCTCCTCTTTTTCTGCTGTTATCTCTTCTTGCCGCCTGCGGTAAACAAGTCAGTTTATGATAACATACACGACATGTACACCGATTTAAAAAGAATGTAACATAGATTGTTACATTCTTTTATACACACATATATCTTAAAGTAATAGAAAATACGAAAAAAAACAGAAAACTTTTAATTTGACATAGTCTGTAGTTTACGCGAGTAGAGCTACATATTTCAATTAAACACTTAACTTTTCACCATTTCGCTTTTTTAACCGTTAAAAAGGTTTTATTTAATACTTAAAATTTTTATTTATAGGAAACTTTATATAATTTTACCTACAATTCAAATAACTCAGAATTATTTCTAACAAATAACGGTATAACACGAATGTTGTTGTACAATTTAATTTGTATTGATAATTTTAATAATTTCATCCAAAATAATTCATAACTGAAGTACGCATTGGAGCTGCGTTTTATTTAATTTAGTCATAGAACATATAATTATACATTTCATTAATTGATAAATAAATTTTAAGAATAAGCAATAACAATAATTGTGCAACTGACCTTGTTAGTTCTTGAAAGGCATATCCATCAGTCCAATTCTCTTGGAAGGTAGCACCAACTCGCTGCGTCACAAACTGTCCCAGCCTTAACCTATTCTGCATACACCTTTGCCGAGCTTCCTTCTTCTCGATAGTGCTCTTCTCATTTAAAAGCTTTTTTACAACTTCTATACATTTATTAATATGGGATTTGTGTTGATCGATAGCCTGAAAAGGAAGAGAATTCATTACACAACCTATGTTTAGATTAACAATTTAAGGTCAACAAGTTATTTGGATTTGTCCTGAATATACATAAAACAAGGCAATATAATTATTATTTCTATAGGTAAGTTATATAACATAGGGCCACATACAAGTAACATGTTAAAAAATTCATTACAACTTATGGAGACATACAGAAGAGTATATAATTAAATCTTAGGTTAATATTGATTACTTTTTTTGACAATTATTCTAGACTCCAGGCGCCCGCCCCTATGGACTTTAAGTAAATAAAACTAAGCAAAGACAGTAGCCAAATAACATTGTAGTATTCAATTATTAGAAACAACAAGAACTACAGAAAGGAAACGCCTAGTAACAACGATCCAATTATGAATTGATTTTTCATCTCTGACAGTTTTGAAAGCAGATTTAAAAATTATTGAGTATATAACAATATCAATACAAACGTACCTTAGTCTGCGCTTGAACTTGGTGCTTCAACTCTTCATTACTCCTCGTTAATTCTTCTATTCTATTATTCCTAACTTCTAAATCAGACGACGCCTGAGTCTCTAACTCTTGTATCCTCTGACACGTCAGTTCTGTCTGAATCTGTGAATGAATGGAATATTTTAATGTGTACAAGACATTGATTTAGTATTTCTTTAGCAACATTCAACAACAGGCACAAACGTGAATGTACCTGTTTAACGGAAGTATGAGGTCTCTGTTGCGAGGCGGAACGTAAATAATCGGCTCCCGGTGGCAATATTGAAGATGGTGACGGTGGGTACTGTGGTGGAAATTGGTACATTACGTGATTTGGAAGAAATAGAGAGAGAGAGAGATACATTAATTTTATTTACAGGTAAATAGTGGTTCAGACTTCTGTTTGAGAAAGAATCTCTCGTGCTTAACACAATACTAGGCTCCAGATTAAAGCATAAAGCCATTTTGGCAACTAACATGTTTTTCAAAAAATGACTTCGAATCTGGATTCGAATATATGGGTTATATTATAATGCCAAATATTACCATAGGATAATTGGCGCTCTGTGGTGAAGGTGATTTGGCACCGGTGTGCCGAACAGGACTCGATGATGGGTGTTTAGAGAAGTATTCACGGATGTTTTTATCGGAAGAGTTATGTCTCTGCTTGCCGCCACCCCCACCACCTCCGACACCTTCTTCTCCTGAAATTATATAATTCTAATGATTATTACTGGTAATACACTTGTTTTGTTTTGTTGTAGTTAAAAATAATAATAAAAGCAGATAGTCAATCTCCCAAGGCCTCAATGGCAGAAACAAATTATCATGTTTACTTGTGTTTCACAGGTCTATCTATTTATTAAAATAATATCATCATCAATAGAAAAAATGTGTTCACACCAACTTAACTAATGAGGCACAACACAATACCTTTTCGCTTTCTTTTTCTTTCAGGCATTGCTATAGTAGGTGTAGCACCACTTGGTGGCACCAAAGCGCTACCAGGAACCACAGCAGATCCTCGCATAGCCGCTGACTTCTCAGGAGTTAAAGCGTCCACTTCTTTATCACTATGCGAAGATCCTGTAAATCACATTACTATTTGAGACAAATAAAAATTAATTAGCACAATTTTATGGTAGTTTTTTATTCTTATCAGCACTAAATTGCTATAAAAACCAGTGAATCTAGATAAAGTCACAGGTCACAGACCATGACTTGGCACCCATAATCACATCCAAGCTCTACACATGCCCATAAAAAATTAAATGGCTAGATAACTTAATACGATAGCTATGGAGTAAATATTGCATGATGAAAAAGTCAAAATATAATGATTCAGAGTGAAAGTAAACTTGTCAACTAGTAAACACCGCAAGTACTCACTTTTGCAAATGGAGTTGGTGTGACCGATTTTAATATAGCTAGAGCCATTTTTATGATCATGCATAGTAACAATCTGCGACCGCAGATGTAATAACACGGCACTTTATTTCATTCCGGCATCGTTCGCAGAGCGCCGTGACGTCAGAATCCTTTTTCCATTTTCCTCGGGTGTTCGCGGGTCGGCCGAGTGAGTTGTTTACGATTATAATTTTAATTTAATGAAGCCGTAGCGAAAAACACCCGACATCACTGAGCACGTGCACATCACCGCGTAAAACTTCATTTTTCATCACAAAACCACAGTTTACCTGTGCTCATATTGGAGTCCTGATTATGTACTGGCTGGCCCGTGTTGACAGTAGTTTGCGGTGCCATCTGAATTTGTGAGCCAGCTGACATCTGTAAAGAAAGATGGCGTCTATACATATGACTCGAAGACTGCGTTGCGGTGGAGACGCGTATAATACAGCCAGCGCGTGTATTTTCATCCACTCGCGAGTCACAAATTACAATGTAAATGCATATTTGAACACTTTTCCTCGGTAATCGAGTACAATAATGACTATAACCTAACTAGTTTGACAAGTTGTAAACGCCAGTCGGCGACAATCGGATACGCATCCGCGGGGAGCGCGCGGCGAGGCGGGGGGAGTGGGCGTACAGTACAGAATGGAGATCGCCCCGAAGTTTGCCGATTGCTCCGGCAACGAATGTAATATTATTATGTCTGCTGAAGCGCCATTTACGATTAATACAAGGCCAACTTTTAACTGACGACTGTAACGTGCGAAAAGGGAAAATGCGAAGCTTTAATACGTATTTACTTCGTCATTGGTGGACAATACAAAGAAATAGGGGTTGGATAACTTGCGCTTTTCTTAAAGTAGAAATCTTACACGGCATAGGTTAGGTGATGTATATTATGCGTTATGAATTCACGGGTTGCGATTGTTCCTGACGAGGCACATTGGCAACAGCGGGTGGCGGGCCGGGGCGGAGTGCCACCGACCTGCGGCGAGCATCTACCTACGCGATATCGGCGCTCGTGCCCCACAACAAACTGCTTACTGGACGAATTATGTAGGCGTGCGGCGATCGTAGAGACTTGGTATCAATATAAATAGATATCAAGTACATAATTTATATCAATCTATACTGCCATACCATTTGCGAATCTATAACTTACAATATTACATCGATAATACACGTAGTTACTTTACTGAGGTCTTGCGTTCGTATTTAGTATGATTAAAATCACGTATAGAAAGCAAAATGCGTTCGAATCGATACAAGTTACAAGTCGCTAACCAGTATGTTGGCACTAAGAGATTATCCACATACTGGTTTAGTTAGCGAGTGCAAAGTGAGAAGGTAACCGCGGCATTCCTTTATCCTAACGGCAAGCCGGTTTCGCAACAAAGACATTTCACAAAACTACAGGAACCGATCGACTTATCATTGTGGATACGATAGTTTTTTACGAAGCGTACGATGAACAGGGCAGGCGCAATTCTATGCTTGTTCTACTGGTGGGTTTTATTGACAGGCCCATCAAACATCGAGATTGTTACGAGATTTTCTAGTTACATTTCGGCCAGGCTTGCTAGACAGTCGATAAGACAATCGTTTCAAAATCAAAGAATCATTTCTATCGCTAGGTATGAAGACAAAATGTATGAAGTGTCGTGCAAAATTATCTTGCGTAATCAAGGTGTATTTTACAATACCTAAAAAGCTACCAACGAACCCTTTGCCCCGGTCCCCCTCCTTTATTCTCAAGGAGACGCGATAGCTTAAGTACATATTACGGTGGCATGATTCACGTTTTAAATGAGATCCCTACGAGATGTTAAATTACTGCGAAATATAGTTCACATACAACTCACGACGTGTTTAAATGAATCTAGAGCAACATACGATTCATACTGTAAGCAGAATTTGGGGGGAGAGAAAAGTCCAATATTACATAATGTATTTTTGGTAAAATAATTCGCTCTGCGGCATTGGGCGGAAAAAAATATGTACTCATCAAGTTTATTTACAAACAAGTAGTTCTAGACTTCTGTGTCCTGCTTGACAACACAATTTATAATTTCTCCAGAACTTGAACTACGAACTCTTGGTAATAGAGAAGTTAAATGCTTTATGCTAATTTCAGTTTAACATCCAGGCTTTAAAGCTTACAATAAGAATCTAGCTGATATGTAAAAATGGTATCTTATGAAATTTACATTGCATACAGTGGCTGTGTATAATATGAGATTGCTTGGCAATACAACTGAACAAGGGACAGACTGGAGGTTTTCAAAGTGAAAAAGATTCATCCATCCGCTCGAAAAGAATGAAATAAACGAACGATGCACATCGAACAATGATTTGCGGCGCAGAAGTTATTGTGGCTCTATTTTTAGCACGACTAGCATCAGGCAAATGGAAAGTTAGCGAGCTGGCAACTAGCGTTAACACGTACTTATTGTGCGTATTATATTACGTGTATGTGTCTCTTACATTTAAGTACTCTTGATCGCAGGCGAGCGAGTACGAACCAGTATGAGGTTCATTTTTCTATCTAAACAAGATGCTATTTTTGTCTTGGTGATGCATAGCCTGAAAGCCAATACTCGGGGTTTCCACCTATGAACGGTGGTTCGATACCCGGAATTAATTTCGATAACCAAACCACTTATTTAATATCCATTATGATCCAGACGAAATCGTACATATATTTGAGTTTCAGAAAAAATATAAATTGACTTTTATAAACACGCTGCGCCCCCGGTGGGATTCCAACCACGACCATTTAATTGAAAAGCAATTACCGATTGTGTGTGTTAAATCAGTATTTTATAACAACGCTATAAAAATAGCTTGATCCTAGCCATTACACTAAAACCCTTCACTCCGAATGCGCAGTACAAATTCAACATGCATTCGTGCAACCGTTACGGAGCCACGGGTGAAGACAATCAATACTCAGTCACATCTTTGTCCCGCACTCATTGTAGAAGCGCAGTTCTGTGGACCCCGAAATCCCCTCTTCCGGTGCGGTATAGAGCCGCGTGCTGTTTAACCCAATTTTCTAGTCGAGGGGTGCGAGGGGTGCGGCGTGGCGGGGGGCGCAAATGTGCAATGCCAACGAGACACGAGGATTCAAACTCGAGCCTGCAATATTGATTATTCCTACTTCCTAGTGGCTGTCAGTCTCCTTCAGCGACTCTAGCATTTGTAACACACACCTTGACTTTTTTTTAACAAATCCTTCGGTATCACTGAAATATGGTTGTTTTTGTTGTCTCTGGTTTCTTATCGCTTTTCGTTGATAACACTGCATCTCTAACGGTTAATATCTAGTGAATTGTGATAACATTCTAATTCAAAAACATCTTTGGGTAATTCAAATTTTTAAAGGCTATAAAATTTCATTCAACTAAATAATAAATAGGCCACCGTAAAACATGGTTAATATTAGTTCATATAAATATGTGCAATAGGCAATTTTAAATGGAGTTGGACTAGTTTTGACTTTTAAACTAAGGGAAAACTAGCTTTAATTAAAACCATCGAATGTTTATCTGCAATATGGTACCTCTGCCTGTATCAAAAGATAAAGGATTTATCAGTTCTATCTCACGTGAATTTTGATACGTAATCTCTACTAAAAACTGAAACGCCCTATCAGTGAAAAACTCGCGGATGGCTCGAGTTACAATGCGATGCTTCGTGTTATTTAGCCGGGGAGTAAACCCGGCTATAGTAGCTCCCTCTTTTTTATTCAATAGATCTACAGAACTAAGCTATAATAATTATAGACATGGCTAAATAGTATATATTACAAGATCAAAAATTAAGCTTGTAAATATGTAGACGACATAATATATTCTTAAATAAATAAACAAATTGATTTTTAGCAAAATAGATAACCGCGAAAGGTCCCGGTTTCGAAACACACAGAACAGAAATACAATAAAATCGGTAGGATGGAGCAGAAAGTAAGTCAAATACTACTTGTCAGTAAATAGAATCGAGCCTCGCAAGGACAGAAATGTGTTCGGCCTATTCCCCCTAGGGACACCGGGATTTATTTAATTAATTTGACTTTAGCTCGTCAATCATAGTGTATGTTTTAGGTGTTCGTTTTCTGCAGAAAGTACTAATTGCTGTATTAACGTTTTGTCACAGTCGAGAGAGATACTCCGACCCAGATTAAACGATAAAACCACGGCAATAAACGCTCCAAGCGGCAAGCAACGCCGCGCGACGATGGGATCGAAGCGCAGTGGGTCAGCCGAGGCAGTACGGGCGGACCTTGCAATGTCGCGGCGTGACGCTCAGCTGACGCAAGACGGGCCGCCCGCCGCCGCGCGCCGATCCCGCCTCGCGTTCATTGCCTCCGCGGCCACGGGCCCGGGCAGACGTTAGCGAGGCGCCATTAACATTCGAATGTAAACAACGTACATAAACACGACGATGCGATGAAAATATGATATCGACGTGCGATTAGGTGGTGAATATCGTATCTACCGATTTCTGTGAGTGCGTCTCGCGTGCGAAAACGCTGGAGTGCGGTGACGAACGGTGCGAAAGGTCGGATTGTGTAAAAATAACTGCGGAACCGAGCGGCTAAGCGGCCGGAGGAATGAGTTTCGTCGGAGCATTGTAGAGGCAGGCGGGGCGAGGCCGAGTGCGCCATATTATAATTTCCCTTCGCGAATGTGCAAACCGAATGACTAAACTGAGGCCCGTGCCTGTATCTCTCTCCCTCCTTGCGCCTCACACCTACGTGTTTGGCGTACAAAATCAGGCGTAGCGATCCGGTGAACCATCTTGGAACTAGCCGTCACAAGAATACATTACCATCGAACCATGAACGCGGATGCTTATTCTCATATCAACTTATTATTGAACTCGTATGTAGGTCAGAACAAAGTTGCAACAATTCCGAAACAAATAAAAAATTCGTAAAAATACAAAGTGTTTTTAAACATTGTTCAAACGAAACATGCATATTTAATTTTTATTATTACCTGCCGTGCCAGAAGCTTTACGAATGCAAAATAAAACGTCTAAGCTAAAATGGCGGCCATTAATAAAATGCTTGTGTCATGTGACTCGTGATAAATAAATAGGCAGGGCAGAGTCGTGAAGTGCTCAGCGCGACAGTGTCGCTGACCCCAGCGATGTAGCGCGGGCCGTGCCGATATCGAGCCGAGGTCGACCGCACCGGCTTCGACACAATCCCACTACTCAACACACTACATACAATCACACGTCTCTCAAAGAACACACAATAACATTTTCACTATCATTCCATCAGTGCAGCTAGCTAACACGAATAATGGCTAAGCTCATTTAAAGCATACAAGCTAATAAAAGTATTTTTCATCTGTCACAACAGCTACAAATAAATAATATTTATAACGCGAATGGTGAATATTCAATAGAACACTTTTAACGGTTTAAAACGCGAACGCATGTTCGCTAATTGCCTGTTAAAAGTGTTTTTTACAAATATCATTGAATAACAACTACTCAATCGTAATCACAGCTACTCAAACTTTCACCATGAATACTGTCAACAGCTCCGTTTAGTCACACGGTGTTAATTATATTATCACATAAGAACGAACGCTATCTTTTGTAACTATTATATATGCCATTAAAAATCAATAGAGCTGGTTCTGACATAATTGAACCCAAGGTGACCCACGACGGAAGGCGAAGCAGATACAACAATTAAGAATATTAATTAATGAATAATGGCTTATCTGACAAAGCGTACAAAGGATCAGTTCTCGACATACATCTACTGTGCGCTATAAATACTTTTCTAAAGATATGCTTTCGTAATAAACACGTCGTGAACGAAAAACAACTCACCGCTTTGAACTCGGATATACGCTGACTTTCAATTAGTATCGCCCCCGCGCTCACCTGCAAAGGCGATCAATGCGCTCAGTGACAAATCCCGTGACAGAGAATCACAACAAGATTTCATTGTAGAACACAACAGCAAATGTATAAGGAATAATCTCTAAGGCTCTAAGCTTTATCCGCATCGTAATAGCTGATTACGAACACCACTAGAGCGATTGAAATCTAGACTGATAAAGCCGTAATTTACATTTCAGTCGCCATCTTGTTATCTGACAAATTAGAATCATATTGTTCGACACACGGCCTGAAGTAAAGTATGTTTTTTTTCTGTATAATAGCGATCTACATTCGACAGAAACGTTGAGTGATCTATAAAAAAACGTGACGACAGATAATGTGGACAGACGCATTTGAATAAGTTTAGAAACTCGCAACGTTAGCAATGCTCCGGCGCGATAAAACGAACGCGTCAATAGGGCAGGAGAGGGGGCCGAGGCGCGACGGGGGGCAGGGTAGACGAACGGAGGCGGCCACATAATGGAATTACATATCCTACCACATTACTTGGCTGCGATCGCTATGTACATTCGACTAGGTACATATATGTCGCACAATGAACATTAATTTATAAGCAAGCGACACACACTCTCGTTGCAGGTTACAGCGGCGACGGAGCGTCGGGACGAAGGGGCACGATTTGAGATTACTCCACGAAACAACTGAAAAGTTTTGCGATGATCGTAGGCAACTAATAAGTTTATCTGCTAAAGAGGAAATCTTTGACATGAATAAAGCTTAACATCTAAAATTAGAGCGCCTAGTTTCGCAGCGCCCGTATTCCGTCGGCGGGGTTCTAATTAAAAACCTTTTCGAATCACGAACGGCGTTGCGCCGCCATTTTCTTTTGTACACGTAAGCGTGAGTTGTTTTGCGGTGACGTAGCCCAATGAATTCAATGATACATAGCAAAGTCTCCGCGATACCGATAAACCGAACCGACCAATGCGGGAAACATTCCGAGAACAAAAGAATTAAGTGTAAACATCGAGACTTATCTACGCCTGTTATATTGGGCGCATTCCGATTTGTATGCCTCCTTCGAGGGGCCGTTAAGTATCTAATAAAGGAACAGTCCTGGGTTCGATTTTAAATCGCGTAAAAAGTTTACGCGAGTAGTGTACATTTAATTAAAGCACTCGATGTTGTTGAACAGGAAATATAACATAAATGAGTTGACTAATATATTTCATGCTTTAAACAGTTAAAAATGTTTTATTTATTTAATAGGAATATCGAAATTCCTCCCGGACGAAGAACCACAGTCCAAAGATGAAAAGGCCGCAAGGAGAAGGGACCCTGAGTATTTCACATTCTTTCAAATTAATCCCCGCATGCTTGTCTGTCCTCTTTCACGTAAGACAATAACGGTGGAAAGGTAGTGAAATAATAGTCTACAATGTTATTATTTAATGAATACGATCAACAGTTAAACGGCCAGCGTTATACGTTAGTGCGGTATAAGAAGTTCGAGGTAAAGATATTTTTAGGCTTCCACTGATAACGTCACTTTCGAATTCAAGGTTAATAAGACGTTCAAAGCGAATTCCACAATAATATAGCTGTTTTGGTTTACGCTCGCGACTAGGTGTGGCCGCGGCTTCGTTCGCGTGAAAATTAACTACTTGCTGACTTGGAGCCGTATGTAGAATATATAAGTTTTTTTATTAAATATAAATTTTATATGTGCTTTATTTTTTATTCAACTTCATATATATTCAGTATCTTTAACAGTTTTCTCACCGTACGCATCGTAAACACACAAAGACAAAGTGTTATATACCCTTAGCCCTAAAGGCTTCCTCGATAAATGCTCTAACCAACATAAAAATATTTTTTTAATACGGGCCAGTAGTTCTTAAGATTAGCGCGTTCAAACAAACAAACACTTTAGCTTTATAGATTGACAGTAATATTTTTTGTTACTCTTAATAACGCCTAACGATAGATGTATTGAGTGGCTGACCTTGGCGCCTAGAAAGCGAGCCTCCAGCAGCTCCTGCTTGCGAGGATCCAGCGCCGCCTGGAAGTGCTCCATCTTGACGCCAGCGCCTGCCATACAAAGTCACAGTTACAATACTGATTTTTCAATACGACAGCGGTATGGATTATTATAGATTACGAAGCTAAATATAAGTGCTAAGTTACTAACGTGGATAAGAAGCGTGCGCTACATATGTAGGTTTTCTGGAAAGTGCATTATATTTATTGTAATACTGGTAATCCGTTGCGGATTTAAAATATTTAAATTTTACAAATACACATATTATTTGCTGTTGTTTTCTTCCCGAATAAAACTACTTTAAAAATGTTGGGTTCAATTTATCATCCTTATATCCAGTTATTTTTCTATTAAACGCTTAAAACCGTTTAAAACGTGAAATATATTAACTTTATTTTAACCACGTCTCGACTTTTTGCTCACTTAGTAGCAGTGGCTGTCAAAAATAGCTAATATATTTCGCGTTTTAAACCGTTTAATTTTAATTTGTATCGCGTAGACTATAGACAAATGGAATCTGTTGAATATTTTCAACTACTGTATATTTTCAAATACAAATTACCTAAAGTTTTAAGTGTGTGCTTAGTTCTTATCAGGCTGCCGTATCAGTGCTCAAAAAAATTGAGAATAACAAGTTTTCCGTCTACTTTACGGTTACGTTTATATGTCAAAATATTTATACAGTACATATCTTATGCTGTTCTGGTCGATTCTCGTATATCTTAGACGTGCGCAAAAGTGAGGCCGAACTACTAAACAGTTTGGAGGATTTTGATTTTAGGAATTCAGTGGTCACTATGGCAACGACTGTACGTTCAAATGTTTAAAGCCGGGACAAAAAATAAACGCATACTTCTTATATATTACGCAGTTAGTTCATGAATCGAGAACATGTGAATTCTTGCAAACCCGTGGTATCTAAATATACCTACGGTCCTCGGTGCGGGGCGTGCCGCCTAACTTACATAGCTTTCTCAGTTTCCATATCTTAGCAACGAATGGAAAGAATTTGTAACGGTGTGAGGTGAGGCGAGCGGGGGTTTTTGGCGCAGTATCTGGAGCAGACAGACGAGTTGAGAGAAGTTAGGTGCGGTTATTTATATAGGTTGTTATACGTATATATGCTCAATGTACATATTGATCGCCACCCCAGGCCACTCGCCACTATGATCTCACCTCCATCCTCTGTGCACCCCCTCCGCCCCCCGCACCGCCATCCCTAGCATTTTCCGAGGCCTACACTGATATGCCTATCAATGACGAATTTGATTTATCTATCATAAAATATCGGAAGACGAAGAACGCTTAACAATAATAACACAAGGTTTTATATCCAATGCAAGGTATTTTTAAGAATAAAACATTTTGGATTGTCGCTCTTAATAATAGTATCAAGTTTGGAACAAATCGAAATTAACTTACACATCCCGGAAAACCCAAAATTCCCACGGGGAACGCTTGAAGTTACGCAGGTTCGAGCGAATGCTATTAATTTTAATAATAATCTTATAGAAGTTTCATACACCTTGGCTTCCTCCAATTGAGTACTTAATGCGAATATTATAAGTTCCCAGAAAACAATACTAAACCCATAATTTAAAAATCGAAAATAAATTGAAAAAAATTTTCGACTCGGGCAGTGATGTTGCTCTAGTTGACTCTGTAGCTCAATTGGTAGAGCAACAGCACGGAACGCCGACGATGCCGGTTCAAGTCCTGCCCGAGTCGAAAAATTTTTCAATTTATTTTCGATTTTTATATTATATAGTGCCATCATGTGCAATAATACATGTGAAAAATATTCAAGGTTTCAAATACTAAACCTATATTAATTAAAAATCGATAATAAATTGAAAAATGTTACGACTCGGGCAGGACTCGTAATTTTTTTTCAATATATTGTCGAATTTAATTCACATAGTGCCATCATGTGAAAAATAGTAAACAAGTTGTTTAAATACTACCCCTGTCATTATATGTACAAAAATGTTGTATTTTGAAACGAAGCGATGGTGTCTTAACGCATAGGAAAAAAAAAGTGATAAAGTATACGGAATTAATTGAACACGTCATCAATGTTTTAGGGTTAATATATGCGCACTTCCTCAATGTAATTGCAAGTTTATATAAACATACATTAGTTATGCACTATGCAAATAAGGAATGCAAAAATAATATATTTTGTTATCTGCATATATGCATTATCAAGGTTTCTGTATTTACAAGGAGCAAAGATTACGATAGAGACCAGTGGAAGTTGTTGAATAGGACAATTCAAATCTAAGGATTAACTCACTTTGAGTCCTAATTGGCATACCTTCTGTGAGTTAAAAACTTGTAAATATCGTATAAAGCATAATAACATAAATAGTTTTATATTCGATTCAGCCAATTAATTCGCGATCGTGAATCGTGATAGCGTAATGGAGAATTCACTGTTTTGTTTTTATTTTATATGCGAGTACATTGAAGGTCTACCTACTCATTCGTTTACTTAAACGCACAAAGTACCTACGTTATGTACACAAGTTATAAGTTCCACCTATGACCGTTGGTCAAAACCTCGGTGTACCACTATATAATAAAAACACCCTAGCTGTTGCTTTGAACCTTTCAAAACCAGAATTACATAAGGGAATCGAATGTACGACCAGTTCTATAAGTTTACAATTTAACACATCACGTCGTACTGCAAAACCGCACTCATATCTAACGACGCGAGTCAACAAAAAAGGGTCTGCCTGGTAACTGTAAAATGGTCGAGGACAGCCTTAGTGCCTGGTAGAGAGCAGGTGCGTGAATTAAGTTCGGAGTGCAAAAACAAAAATATTAAACGCTATCATTTACCTACAAAGCACACCGGTGGCAGTCTACAGCTGATTAAATAATGCTCGAACGGCGCTATTACAAATTACGACTAGCGTCACTTCTATTCCAATAAGATATATGGAGTTATGGTTTGTTATTGTTTACGTCGAGCAGCGCTAAATCTCAACCCACCGACTCAATGCGATCACATGATCCGGTGGGTCACCTAATTCATCACGACGAAGACGAAATTTAAGTGTGTTGTATTGGAATCGAAAGCGACGATATAAATATAATTGCATGTTTTGAAAAGCGAAAAGTAAAAGTTATGGGCGTCAATGAAACTCGGAAGATCTGCGCTTCGTCGTATGCGTGTGCTTGACAGCTGACAAGACGTCAGCCGGTGCGGACACCCACCCTTGCAGCGCGAGTTGCGGCGGGCGCGCTCGTTCGGACGATCGCTCATCGCAAACGACTCTTTGAAATGCATCTTCCGACACCGCTCCGCTCCTCGTCCACAGTCACGTATATCATCAGCACACCCTACGGGCACACGGTTGTGTCGGCACTGTCACCGGCGACACTTCGGCTTGCAATTATCTCGATCGCGCGACACTACCGTTCGGTCGGGGCATCGCGGGCGAGGCGCCCGGCGCGCGGTGCGTTAGGCCGTCGGACGTGACGCATTTTCGTTTCAGATGGAGCGACGCGGCGGGACAGTCGGCCTCGGGCGCGGACCGCCGTGCGATGCGCCCCAGCGCGAGACCGGACTCCACGTCTCGGGGCGAGGATGCGGGATCGGCTTCGGCGCAATACCCGTCACGAAAATAATAGGAGCGGCGACTGCACCTCGGAGGCGCGACGCGACGCGGTCGGTGCGAGCGAGACGCGGATAAACACCAGACTGTTTACTTACGGTGTTCGAGTGCGGGGCGGCGCGCGGGGCGAGGGGCGATCGCCTGCAATCCGCGCGCTGCAATTACTCGCCCGTACTCCACAATTCCATCCTAACCATACTGTAATGAGTGCCCAACATCACAATGCCTAACATAGCCGGCGCCGACGAAAGGAACGGGCGGCGAGCGAGCGACGTACTCCGATTGAAAATGCGTCAATTTTTTCGCTATACTAATTGCCTTTAGTTCCCGTGGGCCGATTAATTAGCCATATTATTATATTATTTCATAGCCGCGAGATTTATTACACAAATCGGGCGCTATCGAGATGCGAGAGAGAAGGGTTACGGGGAGACATTTTCGCGAATGAAAAATGTAAACGGCGACGCGACCCGTACAAAGAAGTCGAACAATCAATCGGCGAGTCGTGCACGGCGCGGTGGTGACTGCATTCCTCCGTCCCTACCTCGTCCGCGAGTCCTCACCCCTCGTCCTTCCGGCGGTGGCCACGTGACGCGGCGATTAGCTGCCGAGTGTGCCACCGCGACCAAAATAGAGCGCACGCATGCTATCTCCGATCTTGTTCACCTTTTCTACACTCCATTAGATCCATTGCTATGACTACCGAAATAACACGAGTTCCAAGCCTCGCGGTGCTCAAACGGCTCCATTGGCATCGGTTTTACCAACCGAGATCATTATTTATCATGTGTTAGTAGACATTACGTATATAGTTTCAAAGGAACGAGCGAGTTAGACCATTGAATCTACTAAAATTAGACGTATATAGTCACTAGACATCGACGAAGTAAGGTTACCCCGAATACATATATTGATCCCGAAGCGGAAATAAAGAAAAAATAATGGCACGCACCGAAACGGGAAGTCAGTTCGCACGGGAGCCGAGCGCTGCAAGACTGCTATCGGACCCTGGAGATCCTATACCACCTGCTCTGAACCTTTAACCGTGACCGACACACGATTAAAACTACATATTAACGTTCCATTTGAGATAAATATTAATGATTCCCAATTCCAAAATAGCAAGGTTAGAGGCTTGAATACGATAGAAGGCTACTTGTGACCGTGTTAAAACTCGTCCGGCCAAACGCCACGGGTTAATAAGGGTTGGAAATTGTCGGAAATCACGCTGAGCCGCCGCATTTAACAAGAAAAAGACGACAGGATCAATACAGGCTGCAAAATGTACACGTGATCGCGTCACTATATAACTCCCTCATTCCACCGACCGCACCCCTCAAACACCCAGATCTTTCCCTGCCCTCTGTGTCGACACTAAGTTTTTTCCATCGGAGCCCATTCGCTTCATATAATATTCGCCAACCGAACCTCAAAATAACAAATTACATTGCTAATGGAAACAATATTAACAAAATTTCGTTCGATTTGAGCTCATATAGAGACGCGGCAAGTCGTATACATCCATGTCTTAAAAAACAAATTAATCATTAATTTGTTAGGACCAGGGCCAATTATATTTTTGACCAGAAGAGTACAGAGAAGTACCGACTTAACTTGGCATTTAAACAAGGTTTTCTGTCGATCTGTGTTGGCTGAATATTGACAAATTTAACTGATTAATCTAACTGTTGAAGTTAACTGAAACAGCTTCACTGCTTTTTCATCTGTATTGTGCACGGTTATGCGTGACCCGAATAGAATTTCGATATCCATCCATGTAATATCCAGAAAGTATCTAGCAAGCTTTCCTATCTTGAAGCCGGTGGAAATCGAATCCACGACCCTTAAGATTACGAAACAAGTCACGTGTCTAGATTCCAGATTCTAAATTAAATACATCAGGAATCGCATAAAGATTTGGTAATAGTTTTAAGCATGAAATTTTATTTTTAAGAGGGGCACTTTCGGCTTATGCGTTGTTCACTGCAATATTGATCTATATTAAAAGCTAATAATTCCGTGTTTCAGGGGTCACCCCGGCTGGAATGTTTTCCGCACCCCGAGGGGTCGAATTACCCACGTACGACAATAAAGTGCGCCGATTATATTTCGTCACGGTCAACGAGGATCGCGTTATTAAAATGAACTATAGCATAGACAATTTTACGACGCGAATCACACGACAACGATAGAATAAATGCGCCCTACATTCGGTTCTAACATGGGTATTAATAAGAATTAACAGTGAAACTACAGTATAACTTTCTATTGGCAATTCAACCTCGCACCAAGTTTCTTTGTAGCGCGACTTTTTCACTTGGCTAGGCAGCGCCGAGCGACGTCGTGCACCACGCACCGAACAGAGTTGGTGGCGACGATGCACACCGCGCTATTCGCAACAGATGAAGCAAAGTGAACGGTTCGTTGACCCCAGGGAAGCAGAGTTTCACTCGCACTGGGTCCAGTTGCTTGTAGATCAGCATTAGGTCCAGTTCAGTGGCCTTCGTGCGATTTGTATCAACTAGGTGAATGATTGTCTCACTCCGCGTACTGCCGGTTCGTACACAAACAGTCTAATTCAATACGTCGTAATACATTTTGTTGCCTAGTAAACGGCGAATATATTCCTATAATAAATAATTCTGCTATTATTAGCTTAGTGATATTTAATCACATAAAATTACACTTTATATGTTAACAGAGATTCCATGGTGATTTGTAGAGAATCAAAGAAATAAACTCTTAACGATTCTTAAGTCCCTACTAGTTTAAATAAAACAGCAAAGCAACCGAAACGTCGGGCCGAAGTTAAAAATTATTTTCAAATAAATTTAACTAATATATCGCGTTTTAAACCGTTAAAGTGTTTTATTTAAATGTGTACTACTCGCGTAAACTATAGACAGTATTCCCTACTAGTTGGCAAGTAAGAACGATATAAGGCTGAAAACTTTAAATTTTGCACCTGGAGGCATTATACAGGGTGTTGCGGAATTTAATTTTTAAAATCGAATATCTAATTAACTGGGGGGGAAAAGGTTATTAGAATCACATGCGGATTTCTTAGCCAGATTCGAGTGTGTGAGCATCGCGCGTTCGCTATGAAGATTTTTCAGAGTACTAGACCCTCGCATTTTTTCACATTTCAAATTGAGGAAGGAGAAGTTGAATTTAATCATTCGTGGTGGAGAGGTTCCGGCAACTGCTTCGGCTATGAACACACCACGCCAGGACCTAGTGATCGTCAAGGACTCCCGAAAACATTGAACTGGTTGAACGCAGTTTAGTGAAAATGCACGACTATGATAGGAAAAGGGCAGCTTATGGGACTTCCAAGAGCAATTGTCATGAAATTTTGACAAAAGATATGAATTTCATCCTTTTAAAATTCAAATAATTAGAATTGAAAAAAATGTTTGCGTCACAAATTTTTTTTGTGAAACCATTTGGAGCGTTTTCGCACTGTGAATTCCATTTTTTGGAGCGACGAGGTCATTTTCATTTAAACGGACACGTAAACAAGCAAAATTCGTTACTGGGCTCTTAGAACTCGCAATCCTCGAATGAAGCACCAAAAACCATTACATGCCCAGGGTAACTGTTTGGTGCCTTTATCCAGAATGGGATAATCGGACCATTTTTTTTGAAAATGACGGGCCAAGCGACGAATGTCAATGGTAGAATTATCGGCTCATATTTCAATTCTTTTGCCGACTGGACTATTCATCATTCTCATCACAATGTTTCAACAGGATGGTGGACCGACACACGGACTTATGATTGTGGAAAAATCTCCCTCAAAAACTATTAGTGTGGGTAATCCGTGCAAGGTCACCCGACCTAATCCAATGGTTTTTTTTTATGGGGCTACTCAAAGAGAGATTTAGCCAACAATCCCAAACTTTGTGGACTTAAAAGAAAATATTCGGCGAGAAATCAGCAATTGACCAAGTTTACTGCATCGTGTGAGGAATACGAGGCTTTGAAAGTGTGGAACAGGATGGAAGACATTTGGACACATTATTTTAAAAAATGAAAATTGTACGTCTTTTGATTTTTAGTAAAATTATATTCAAACATATTATTTTTTATTTCAATTTGAAAACATAAATCTGCCACCAGACACCCTGTATAAGACACGTAAATATGTAAGGGATCAGGTTGAAATTACATTGCGCGAGAAGTACATGCAACATTAGGTTTCATAAAAATCGACATGACGTGTAGGTGACACGGTAGCTCAATTGGTTAGAGCAACAGCACGGAACGCCGTGAATGCAGGTTCAAATCCCGCCCGTGTAGTAAATTTATTCAATCTACAATAGATTTTTAATTTATACAACAAAGTTATCTATTACACAATAACTATACACGTAAGATATTCAAAGCAAAACATTTTGACACGTAGACCCGAGCCATATATTTCCATTTGAAACGGCATAAATGGATTCAAAATGCTTATGTAATAATACGCTAGTCCCTATTCGTAATGTCACTTAACACCAAGGCCACAAGGGTGCGCGCATGTGCACTTGCTGTATCAAAGAATAAAGATTTTCGGTCTCGCTGTAAAGGCAATCCAGATTCCTGTCGTTTACGAAGCGTCTCATGTTTACCCTTGAACACGGTTTTGCGATCCCGCTGACCCTTCGGCTAGCGATGTTTCTACGTATTGAATGGGCAACATAATAGTTAGCTAGTTTGAGGACTCGATGTCCAATGTATGTAGTAATTATCAACGGGTTCGATTTTCACCAGGATCGACATGTTACTAAATTCTATTTTTTTTTAAATCTGGATATTAAACGGGCTTTCTGAATGTCCATAGCGACAATAGGACGACAGCACATCTTGTTTAGCTTTTATATATAAATAAAGCGATGTTATATGGCGGGGCTGTTTTACATCACATCAATTGAAACTCAAATTTGTTTGTACTGTATAAAAAATCTGTCTAATAGAATAAAATCGACTAAACGCGTAAAATTCTGTAAAATTTTGTAACTAAGGGCCGGACCGAAAAAGTCGCGGGCAATATAAAAACAGATAAGTCTAATACTAATGTAAGTTGACTACCGAAAAAAATAATCAAACACATGTAAATATAGAACGACTTACTTCGGGATAGAGAATAACTGAAGTAATGTGGATTGTTCGAATTTAGCCCGAAGTGAGTGTCGACAACTAGCGATCGATCCGCGCTCTATGTACCCGCTGTACATAGCTCCTCGGCCCTCGCAGCGCACATAAAGATTCAGCGGCGATGCGTCAAATGCACATATGCATAGGTAAACAAGACCGGTATATACGAAAGTTCGTTCGCGGGTTCACTTCTTAAGCCTGACGCGATCATGCGACGTATATAAGTACATATAGCGACAGATTGTGTCCGTCTGTTTATATGTTGGCTTTTGATCGTATACTACATTAATTCGACGGTTTAATACGAAATATTTAACAGTGATCTCTTCCAGGCGACCTGAGGTGAAGGGAAATACAGAAAGAGGAGTATGAGTAGGTAGGTGGTGCTAAGGGGAATAGTGAAGAATGGCAATTAAGAACTTGAAAGGTAATATTTGAAAAGTGAGGTTTTGGACGAAAGGAGAGATTAAGCTTTTCTGATATCAATGGGGAGAGAATTCCAGAGATTCGTGGTATAAGAGTTTGTGAAAAAGGAAGTTTTATGCGCAGAAATAAATAATAAAAAATACTGATACTTTGAAAGCTAACCACTGCCCTGAGAAAGAAACGCAAGATCCTAAAATGTCTAAGGTTAAAAGAAATACTTGGTCTGTTAAATATGACTGTCTTCTACCTGTGAACCCCTTGGCTAATAGCATGAAAAAACTTATGAACTATTATGTAATAGACATACAAACGACGTTACAAAGACTGACAGACTCTTGTATTGTATGTAATGATATAGTATAAAAATAAAGAAAGGATCTATACACTATGTACTTATTACTTTAAAAGTCCGATTGAGATGACGCTCAGCCACATCGTGAGAATATCCGGTCAGCTGCCAAAAGTGGCCGAAAAACAATTTGCAACACGAAAAAGAGGTTTTCAATAGGGTAACAAAAAGGATAATATTATGCAGCCACCAAAAATAAAATGAAGACGATATAGGCCTCTAGAGGCAGAGTAGCCTAACTGCAACTTTATGACTAGAGTAATTTATATTTTCATAGTCTAAAAGTGTTAATCTACAAGAGCACAGTGACCGAAAAATGTTAAAACAGTCCTGACTCAAAATTCACTTTTGCTAGTTAATTGCGTACTTTTATTATCCTTTTTATTGGAAATTATGTTGATTGTCATTAGGCCACTCTGACTTGCAGCCTCGTAACAGAGTTAGACGATATAAGGCGATTTAGAAGTGAAAAAGAGTGATGTTTATTTAAAGATAAATAGGACACTTTCCCGTTATATTTTTTAATTTCTGAAGTTGATAGTAAAATAAAATAAAAATTTAAAAGATTGAAGATGGCTTTTAGAAAAATGCGGTTTAAGCTCGGCTGGCGAAGGATAGACATCATCGAATATTTCTAGAAAAAACGAAAAAAAAAGAAGAGATATACCTTAAAACAGTAAAGATTGTGTTAACCAGTAATGTTAGCCGAAGCCGCGGTGAAAAGTTAGTGCAGATTGCAAACGTGGCACTTACACAGCAGCGCCATCAATACATTGTTTGGTACTATTGTGCGAACTAAACGCCGCGCGAGTTTTTCTCGTTTCCACACGCCACCCAATTATCGACCGATATTCGCTGCGTCCGACAAATATACGAGTCCGTAATATAAGTTTTAACCTTGAACAGTCAAACGTTTTTCAGGTTTTTTTTATCGCAAATATCAGGATGAAAGTCGCTTTCGACCTATTAATATCCCAAAGAACAGGTTTCTCGTGTAGAAGATGGTTTTTAGAATTTCGACCCACCATGCTGCTCCAGTGCTGGTCGGTGGGCAGACTCAGAATAGTAAACTTTGGTTAAAGTTAGCATAAAATAATCTACATATAAATTACCTACATATACTTTTATGTTTATACATAAATTATGTAGTTGCCATGCACATATTTTCCCCCAATATTAAAAATAGTTATTTGATCAGAATAAAGTTTGATTTTTGATCAACTGTTTATGTACATTGAAGGGAAAAACAAAGTTAATCCTACAACCTTCTTGGTGAAAACTATCAGTGAAAATGATACCAACAAAAATACATACTATGCAGTCAAAATGAGGATTAGTAACTCACCTGGGTATAGAACCTTCTCCGTCATGCCTGCAGTTCTAGTTTCACCCATTTAACACTGCAATGGAAACATTATATTTTAAGATGCTATGTTTGAGATAAGAGTAAAAAAAATAATCATCAAATCGCTTTGATCTCTTTTGCATTAAACACAAGATTCTCTTTCTAGGCACAAAATCTAAATGGAAATCATTGCATCATAAGCGGATTGCAAGAAATATTTATGTTTGAAGCCCTGTGTCCCTCGGTTAATATATGTATATAGGAACAGAATAACAGCAATGATATAATCATTAAACAAATTTAAAGAAATAAATGACTCAAAGTATTTCGAAACAATAATTTTTATAATAATATTAACCAGTTTTTTCCTGTAACCAACGAGTTGTGGCATTTCTATTAATAAAGTTTATTTATATATATATATGCTATATACTTAATAAAAAACAAGTTGTTTCCAGTGTCAATTACATAATTAAGAAAATTAAGCAAATTAAATAATATGTACCTTTACTATTATGTTTATTATAGTGTATGTATTTTAACATACACTAAATGTTTATTTTCAAAAGTCTACAATAATATAAACATGTAACATGGTGAGAATTTACCTACTTTAGAAAATGCTATAAGGGTTCAAACAGAATAAAGAGACATGACTTTTTTATCATAACGTAAGTAATAGAAAATGTGATCAACTACAAAGTATTTGACATAATTAACTTCGTCGGTGATTGTTGTTAAATGCAACAAAAAAAACAATGCTAGGTCCGCACTACATAGTAACATTACTATAAAATGCAGTCTGATAAAAAGGTACAAGAAGGATGTAATAATAATGATTACAATCGGGAGCAAAAGAAATCTAATTAATCTAACCTTTTATGAGAACTATCCACAAACTTCAGGAAACCACAACGCTAATGCCACAAAAACTAGTCTTTACACGTTAAAGTTAAATTCATGGATTGTTTTGTTTCTTCTTCATTTCATGCTTAATTTTTTAGCCGAATGCAATAAGTGCGAAAATGGCGACGCATACATCTCGCGAATAAACAGTAAACACACTGAACACTAGGGTTTCACAAAAGTGGAAACAGTTTTAACACTTCATACCGAATTGGTGGTTTTATTTAAAACCGTACGGAATCGTTCACAACAACTTTAACTTTTAAAAACCTGTCCAAATACAATAATGTATTTACCACAAAACAAAATTCTAAAGAATATTTTTTTAACAATCGGGCATTTTAACAAGATTAAATGATATAGTAAAGAGACCTTTAAGCCAACGACGAGGCATAGAGTGATAATACATAGTAAAATGTAGACTATGAGAAAACCGCATGGTAGTCCGATTATTGTGTTCGAGATACAATAATAAAAAAGGGTCACTAATTATATATTAAGATTTAAGAATCTCCATATTTTATTTGCTATGCAATAATGCTCGCGTATTTTTGTTATTATGTGATCGATTAATTTCCTAAAAGAAACAAGAATCGATAGTGATTATTGACACTTAAGTACACCGTCAAATTTCACATTCGCTTCACTATTTATTACTTTTGTTAACCCAAAGAAAAATAGAAAAACAAATTATCAGCGTTAAATCGTCGTAATCGTAAAAATGTTACTTCTTTAAGTGTTAGCCGGATATTAGAATAATGGCTTTTATAAATGAACCAGTATTAAACATAATAGTAGTAGGTTTTCACCATAAAAAAGGGTGCCAGGTAGGCGTCACAAGTTCCAAAATCGATCGTAGTTTATCTTGTGTTTATTGGACTTAATGTAGAGTTCGTGTATAAATAGAATTTAAACAACGACTGTGTTGAGGCATGCATGTGGTGTAAAATGATGTATTTTTTTAGGTTGAACACTGTTATCCTGAATTGGTACCAGGGCGACCGTCAGAACTGCCCCCTACTTGGCGATATTTACCAGCCTTAGCTTTACCTGATGGTTCACATAATTACCTTTCTGATACGATATTTTTCAATTTACCAGATATTAATGACCCCACGCGAACCGTTTATGGTATATCATGTTTTCGACAGATTCCTGTTGAGGTAAGCAGAATTTTGTTTCGTATTAATTTACGTCTTTATTTATATATTTAAAATACAATCCATGTAAGGTCATTGTAACTTTAGTTATTCATTTCAAGAGAAAACTCATTTAATTTAATAAAGGGTTTTAAAACAAAAATGGATATTTGATAGATCTTACTTTATACTTATAATAATAATAATCTTACATATTATGTAGTAATCACTTAAATATGTTTCAGCAAGTACTCCAAAAAACAGAAGATATGACAAGAAGTTCAGTGCAGAAAAGTGTCTGTGTGATCTGCAGAGTTCCATTATTTGGCCGTCTGGCTGTTAAAATGGAACTTGTAGTAAGAGCATGGTTTTTACAAGGTGACTTCTCACAAACAAAACTATTGGAGGATGCTTTCCAGCACTTAAATAGTTGTCCTGTCCAAATTGATCAGGCTTTGGAAGGTGAGAAAATAAAAGTGTCTGTAATATACTAAATCAAAAATTAAAAGGTGTACAAACAAATTTATTAGATGTCTTGGCCTTATTACCAATTGAATGACATTCATAAATTCAGTATTCTGTGGTTCTTCTCAGAGTTTCACATATCGATAAAAACAAGAAATAAATATTTATTTACAGGTTTATCAGTTCAGAAGTTAGTAGATAACTGGAGACACAAAGCATTATTGTTATTCAAATTGTTGCTTTTGGGCCGTAAAGTTGTAATATATGGATCGCCAGCTGGGCAGTTGTCAAAAGCTTTGTTGACTGTAATATCTCTTATACCTCGATGCTTAGAATATGGTTTATCCCATTCTGCTAATGTTGTGTAAGTATACATTTCAGATACATTTATTATTTATCTTATCAATTATAAATTTCAAGTTAAAAAGAATAAAAAAAAATGTTGCTTAACTTTAACATACTCTGTCTATAGTTTACTGAGTGGTAAACATTTAAATAAAACACTTTAAGGGTTTAAAACGCGATATATTAGTTAAACTTATTTGAAAAATGATTTTTAACTTCCGCCCGACGTTGCGGGTGCTTTGCAGCAGCCGTGGACCATCCCGTATATCAGGTTTTAAACCTTTAAAATATTTTTATTTAAATTTAACATACTCTAACGTAGAGTGTTACATTAAAATGGCAGAAATGTGTGAAATGCTTGTTAGGCTGATATATTAATTATAAATAACCCAGTATAATTCATACAACAACTGTAGTATGTATTTTTGTACATAGGTGATTCAATGTAACAAGATTTTTATTTTCAGCCTCTCACGACCACTATCACCAGTACCAGCTATAGAAGTCAATGTTGAAGAGTTCAATGCTCAGGTCGCGAGTGATCCCATTTTCAATGGTAACAACCTAGAAGAGCTATCACCAAAAGAAACAGGAAATCTCCTTGATGAGAAGGATAGAGTTAGCCGTCAAAGTTTTGATGAGACATTACTCTCTGAAGTGGATAGGCCAGATCCTGGTGTAAGAGAAAAATGTCACAGTATCGGTGAGAAATATAAGCCTCAGAAGGGTCTCAGTGAAGCTCAGCAGAGCCCAACGATGGCGAGAGACATGAGCGTTGATGGTCTCTATAATCTGACCGGGCAGATTGATCAAACAGAATGTGGTTTCCCATTACCTCTATTTGAAGACGGATACCTTTGTTTACCATATTTGTCTTTACAATACCTAGATCTGCTCTCTGACCCTGCAGTCCAGGGCTTTGTAGTTGGTGCTTCCAATGTACTGTTTAAACAAAAAAGGCAGCTGTTTGATGTTCTTGTGGAGTTGAATGAGATGAGAATTGAAACAGCAGATATCTCTTTGAGGAGGCAGTTGACGCTTACAACGGAGGATTTGAGGTTTGCAGACCACGTTGTCAGATATGGCTCTTCACAGGGTGATTCGTGGATACGAGACCAATTTGCTAGCTATTTAATCTACCTGCTAAGGACTTCTTTATTGCCAGGTAAATGATCAATATATTCATGTTACATATTAAGGATGATTTTGTATGTTATTGCTTGTTTTTAATTCATTAATTTGAACATGTTTAGAAAAGTACTAGGTTTCAAATCTCAAATTGATTTACTAAAATTGCAGAATGGGACTTTGAAAACCAATTGCTATCTTGCATATAAATAAAAAACACTATAAATGAAATTTTTTTTTTTTTTTTAATATTTATTAAATAAAATAGATTTAAAGGTACATGGAAAAAATATATAAGTTAACTATATACAATTTATTTTATGAAATAAGAGGTATAAGGCAACAAAAATGTTTATTACATAATACCTTTATGGATACAATTATAATAATTTTAGATGCCTTTTCTCTTTTTTTTTCTTATTATACCCTTTTCTTTTGTTTCTTACGTAGATGGGAGCAGAGAGGTAGAGTCATATAACTCACAATTCATGGCAGCCTTCAAATCCACTCAGACTTATGAGAAATGGTTGAAAACGAGTAACACTACAGATGTGGAAGCATTCATGAACTTGTCTCCTATGCATCCATTCTCGGGACAGCTCTCTGTAGCCGATATGAAGTTAAAGTTTGCCCAGTAAGTGAATTTTACTCTTTGAATGCTACTCAATACTAGAAATAATTTTAAGATTTTTTTGTAGTTCAAAGCACATTGACATATGTTGAAACCTTGTTGTTACTCGTGTTGACATTGTAGCTGAAAATTAACACTTTATAATATACATACCGAAAAGTTTGACATAAGGTTTAAAGACATTTACTTCTCAAAAATAGATAAAAAGATCACTTACTTGGGAAGACTATACAAATCAACATTATTTTTATAATTCTACCCACAGGTAATGTTCAAGATATTATTAATAATAATTCATTATTCGGGTACAAACCCACATCTTACAAATATGTCATAAAACAATAAAAATGAATAATTAAAAAATAAGGATTATGCATTATGCTGTTTTCCTGATACTTAAATAACATTCAATATGTTGATATGTTGTCTATTTAAATTTTATTTCAGCACGATGTCGACAACAGAGGGCGGTAGAAAAGTAACCGCAGCAGTAGCTACAACGGGTAGAGCGGTCGCGACCACTTCGAGAGCGGTTGGCGGAGCCCTATCTCAAGCTCGTGGAGCGCTCTCTGGATGGTGGAGCGCACTAACTACGAATGCGCCTATGCCACCTTGCGACTCGTCTGATGAAAAACCCGACAGCTCCGATGAAAAGACGGAGACCGGTAATCTGAAAGAAGAAAAACCCCCCTCGGACGCAGAAGATGCCCTCGAACTCCAGGACAATAAGAGGGAGAGTCACGCGTCTTCGGAACCCCCCGACAAAGTTATAGAAGACACCGCAACTAGCCTTAGCAAGATACAAGTCGTTTGAAGTGTGATATTGTAGTGTACCCAGATGGCATTATTTATTTTTTTATATTACTCATTTTTCGTATGTTTTTGTACAGTTGTTGTTCGGTTAGTACCTAGTACGGTATTTTTATATATTTTGATTTGTAGTTTAGGGTAATTCACGTGCCACTTAGTTATGGATGTACATAGTTTGACAGTAATTAAGATCTGAAGATGTTTGTCTCCTAATATTGTTTTAAATGGAAAGAAGCAGCAGATTTTCAAGTCTTCATAATTTTTTACTTTAATAAGTTGAGGGCTAATTATTATCAAAACATGCTAATATTATTATGATATTCAATCTTGTGCCAGCTCTATTGTCTCCCAATCATTGTACTTAATGTAACTCTGAAATGCTTCAGAGATTTCGATGGTGTCAAAAGTTATAAATAAACTTTGCTACATTCAGAACGAAATTTTCGATATCAACGTATAAAAACCACTAGGCGTATATTATCTTTGTTTAATCTTAGAAGAACTTTCCATTTATATTATGATACTCGTTTTAAGCCTACAAAACGTTGGTCTCCTCCCCGTCTGAGAGGGGTTTAAAAACTTTAACTGTGCAACTTGCAACTCTGACGGGGCACAAACGTTGTTGTTAAAGAATTAAATATTGGTGTCTAATTGCTTATGAAAGGCAGCACAGTGCTAAGAATAGTTCTATGATAAGGTCGGTTTGCGAATTTCAAAATAATCGTCAATTTTAACTAAGCGTAGAATAGAAAAGTGAGACGTTTCAAACTCTACAGGGAAGTTAAAGACGAATTTAGCTTTGGAAGAACTGTGCTTCGTATTATTTCCAATTGTACGAGATGTGAAGACACCGGCCACTCGTATATGGAATTAGTGATCTCTTAAATACTTAACTTGTTGATAATGTTAAGACAATTCTAATTATATCGTAATTTTTTACTGTAGGCATATTATTTTTATATATTTTGACTTGGTTCCTTTATAGATATTGTTTGTTGTACGGTAAGTACTTAGTGTTTTAATTTAGTGAATTTTTTATCTGTATTTGTCCTGCGTGACGTCTCATATAGGCCTATTATGTAACACAAAAAAAAACAACTACTGATTTTTAAAAAGTATGTGCGAGTCCTGCTTGCGTCATATATATTTTTATTATTATACAGATTTAATTTTAATTGGTCAAGTTTCAAGAAGAAATACAAAGTAACAACTGACACTCTTTTGAGTATGTTTATTAATTAAATATAAAAAAAAATAAAAAAGAAAAAAAAAAAAAAAAAAAAAAAATTTTTGGGGGAAAAAAAGGGATATAATAATAAAAATTTTTTTGAAAAAGGATTTTTACTTCACGGGGGGGGGGGGGGGGGAGCACGCCGGGGGGGGTCCCCCCGGGCCCACGGCCGGGTTTTAATTAAATGTTTATTAATTTTATACTATAGATTGTCACCAGGACAATAAATATAGCTGTTTGTTTAAATGAGTCATAAAAAAGTTTGACCATAATTTCTGTGTTAATGACTTTTAGTCCATTACTTTTAAATGTTGCTGTTCATTTGGATATACATTTTTCCGCTATGATTTAGCTGGTCTAATTATGCTTTCTACCTTTGCCATTTCGTTTTAGTATATTTCAGTTCTAATGTGTATGCTGCTAGTTAATAAAACGTTAAGCCATTCTCTTGTTTATTTTTCCCACTATAAAATAAAAACAGATCATAGATACAACTTTAATTAATGCCACCACAATCGCTACGTCACTAAGCAAATTTAATAAATGCAAGTCAAATGTATGTCTTTAAGTACGTTACGTACAAAATATTCAAAAGTTTAACAATTATACGTTAAGCTTTAGTGCCTTGAGTATGTCTAGTTTTGTCAGAATTCCGCCATCAGCTGTTCCGACGTTAGAGTCGACTCGGACTTAGGTTGCGTCCATTCTGATGTCACGCTTCCATCATACAGCGGAGTCTGGCTCGTCCCAGGGCCAGGGCGGACCGGAGTCCAGAGCGTCCTGCCTCCAAAGCGCTCGGGAACCCTCCGTAGTGCCGTGCGCTAGAAGCCTCATGTTATAAGGCTCGACCATGTTCGATATGGAACCGTTACTCTCTTCCCTGATCATGCTCACTTTGTAGGAAGGTCCGTTGCCATTCTTCGATTCTGGCAACATGTCGAATACGGTGCCGCTCTCTCTGGGTGATTCGAGCTCCGTCGTATCCGATCGAGGGGAGAAATCAGAACTAGCCGTGTACTCTTGGCTACGATCGCCACATTCGACGTCCAACGGCTTCTTGTAGGATGGTGTCGTAGATCCGATGGGAGAGGACATCCTCGTCGATGCGTCCGCGTTATCCGTCTGCGGTGAGGTAGCGCTGACAGTCGGCGAAGAGACGAGTGGGACTGACTCCTCGTCGCTCGGTTCTTCTCGCGGTGGACTGCGCTCGCGAGAACCAGAGTTGAGCGAGAAAAACTTGTCTTTGAGCCGACTCAGTCTCTCGGCTGAACCGACTTTTCGAAGGATATCAGCGGTTCGACGGAGGTTCCGTAGCTTTAGGTCGATGACCGGCGAGCCCGTGCGCGTCGAGTCCTCCACAGATCTGGAGCGGGTAGAGAGACGGTCGCTGGCTTCCGAGACGTCATCGCTCACGAGAAGAGAAGATGGCCGGGAGCGCCCAGCGGCCTCCACTTTGCGTGGTCGCGCTGTGAATGTAATGTGACCCTCATCTGAATCTTCTTCGTTCTCGACTTTGAATGTTACCGCTGGAAGATCGTGCGCCCGACGCGTACGGAAGCTGCCAGCAGCTGGGCGGGGCGAGGGCGCAGGGGCGGGGCAGGCGGCCGTGCCCGCCCACGACGCACCTCGACAAACCGTCGACCTTATTTCACGTTCACCACCTGAAATAAACAATTACCATGAGTCTTCTAAAAATTACTCACTCCCAATAAATAAATATACTTTCCATACTAACCTACTGCAAAATAAAGCATTTACTGGTTAGTCTGCGATAACCGTGGGTTGTTAAATAAAACAAAAAAAATAATTTCGAGTTCTTTATTTTTTAATCTAATAATATGCGGAATGATATTTTTGGAATCTCTATACTACATAGAACACTGTGTTTGATATGTCTGTGGTTACAGATCCATCTATATCTAAATCTAGGAGAGGTTTCGTGTCATTTACATTAACTAGCACTATGTTAAAGACACTAACATTCTTATTCGAAAGAGTCTCATAATACTTCAATGAGTAAAAACATGGCTTGTAAAGTATTACAAAAGATAACAATATACTAATAAATGTTTGATAACACAGTTTTTGAATGATGGCACGAACACTATACATATTATAAATATATTTAGTATTAAAATCGCTTAACTTGTATATAAAGGTATTTCTGCGTACTTTTCAAAGAACTTACTTCGTCTTCCTATGACAGCTAAAAAGCCTCTGAAGCATTGGGCCTAATTAACAAAAGCACCTAATAATTTTGCATTAAAATCAGTTGAGATATAAAGTAAAAGCTCCAGAAACACCTTCATTACAAACCAAATTATTGATAAGCACAGCCAATAAAATTTTCGGGAATAATTCAAAAAGCTTAAAATTAATAGGAATGCCTCAATTTCTGATAACTAAATGAAGCTAAAATTTCACTAATTAAACTAGCAAATACATGCACCTCACTGCGATGAACATTTTTGGCATCTTAAGTTTTTTAAGTACTAACGTAAGTATCATTACAATATATTTGAATACAGGATAAATTCGAGAAATTACAATTTGTAAAAACTTAAGTACTCTTGGTTTAATCTTTATTTGTGTGTTTGTGTTGTTTATATAAATAAAATACTTTTAATGCTTTAAAACGCGAAATATATAAGCCTATAATGACCACGGCTGGAGCGAAGCAAAGAGTAAATAATTTATGTAATATATTTTGCATTTTAAACCGTTTAAAGTGTTTCATTTAAATGTGGTGTGTAAAAATTAATAAATTAAAAAAACTCAGTAACGTTAGCATCTAGCTGTTTTTAATGTCGCTATTATTACCTTATTTTTCTCAACTGTTTTAATAGTGAAGGGTAAATGAAACATTAAAACACTGCCCAGCAAAATTCTACTAGTTACTATTTGCGACTCAATGCGTCTACTAGAAAATTGAGTTACATGTAGTCAATGTCATTTGATAAAAAATTGACACTCGAAGATCTGGAAGTCATTAGAGCTAAAAACTTAGGATGATGTACTGATGCATCTGGTGTGTGTGTGTGTGTGTGTGTGTGTGTGTTATGTTCACTCTAGACAAAAACAACAGGTTCACCAAGGTAAAGGCAGGTGGAAGATACCTCCGTATCAATCAAGGGCAAACTCTTTTCGTTTTCGCTCTACTTTTATCCCCCCTTTTTATGAACAGGAATAAGAGACCTAGACTTCAAAGAAAGACATCATCAGATATATTGACGAAGACATCGCGACGAACCTCCTCCTCAGAAGAGTCAGTGAGGGACGGTTGGCGGGGTGTTAACGAGGGTGAGGGTGTGTGCGACGCCTGTGGCGGGTACTCGCGGATCGTGCGCAGGTGGGGCTCACCTGGGGGCGAAGGCTCCGAGTGAAGGACGTCCTCCATCGCCTCTTCGTTTAGAGTCTGTAGCGCGCCGCAGATCATCTGCTCCTCGAGGGTGACCTGCCAAAAGGTTAGTGTTTATACATCCAATCCAAATAGTACAAAATATAAATGGGGGAGGGTGGTTGATATTGACAGATAAATGAAGTAACTAGTAGCCATATTAAGTATTAATTATTCGTGAAATAAATGAAATCTCGATACAACTTTGGGGTACGGGGGAAACACACTTCTGTGTATGTTTTATGTCATGATGTAACAATTTATTGTTTCCCCGGGACCCCAACCTAGGACTTTTCATGTTTTAACTTATAGTTAGAAATAATAATCAGACAATTTTTTTATAGATACTGAGTGACTTTTGATAAAATTTAAAAACCCAAATAGCTTGTGTTTTTAAGCTTTGCACGGTGACCGCGAAAGCTTTTTACAATTAATACAACAATAAGATCTTGCGATTTAAACAAGAGTTACATGAAGGTGATTTGAAATTACAATACCATGACTTACTATACAAATACTACGATGAAACAGATGGCGCTACCGTAGCATTAGTTGTACAATCTATCAAGAAACGCAAAAATCATAATATTTTCTTCTACTAACTATTCATATATTTCATTCACTAAAGATTTTTATGACTGGACGCTTTGCTACTATGAACGAAAAAAAAAACACTGCAACAGTTTATCGTGAAAATTAATTAGAAACTACTGTGCACAGTAAACTAAGGTGGATTCTTCTACAATAATCACCTGATATTCCGCATATGGCTGTAATAATAAAAATATACTTATATTACAGGTTTAACGTAGGATTCTTATTTGCTATTTTACAAAACTACCTTCATTTGTAAATGCTTCTTAATTATCAATATAATATGATACTTATACATATATTGTCACAATCAATTAATAAAACATATAAACAAAACCCTTTTAACAGTTTTATACGTAAAACTAGTTTACTTATTTTTAACTTCGACTCCACGTGACCACGGCTGCTGTCAAGTATCGGAGACGTTGTGTCGAAGTTAAGAAAGTTTAGTAATATATTTCACGTTAAGAACCGTTAAAAGTATTTAATTTAATCGGGTTATTGTTAAAATGAATATGAGGTTTTACCTGTTTCTCAACGTTTGTGGGTCGAGACCGCTGATGCTCCAACACAGTTCTGGGTTTCACTGGGATAGCATCAGTTTCTGTGTCACCAGATTTGTCTGGTAAAACTAAAAATACAAGGTTTTCTTTAATATAAATGTTTACAGAAATGAGGTTATATAACCTCTAAACTGTGTGTGGACCTTTTTTGACTTAGGTATACATATAGGAAATTATTATTCGGAAATCCAGACTGTAACCGAAACGTTATTCAATTTTACGGGTTTTTCATCTGTGGAAGGAGGTTTGTGACCCGAACTGAATTCGATATTCGATTTTCCGCCCCCCCTCCAATTTCAATTTTAAAGTGTCTAAGATGACACAATTACTCAGTTGATACACTCTAAGTCGTGGCCTGTGTAACCGCTATAATTCGATATTATACAATATTTTAATTTTCAGATATCTTGATGAATTAAAATACCTGAAAGTGCCGGTGCGCTGACGGGCATCGACGCTTCTAATTCTCGAAGGTTCATTATCAGCATTTTAAAGAGTTCCCAGTCGCCGAAGGGCAGATCCAATATCTGAAAATTTTAGTTAAAGAATGTAAAGAAGTAAAGTATATAGCCTGGAATAACATTATGATTCAATTTTCCAACCGAAATTTTGCGTTAACTCTGTCCCACGTATATACCGAAAAAGATGAAGAGTGGCAGGCAGTATTTTCTTTCTTTACAGACGTTATTAAATAATGTAATCTCTTTCTCCTGTTAGGCATGTAACGAACATATATATTGTGCGTAGCTCGACCTAAACAATTTAGTGTTTTTTTTTCCGTGATTCAAACTCTCGTGTTTAATGAGAGCTCGAATCCCGCGCATTTTCCTATTATATTTTATTTATTGACCTAAGAAGGCAGTCAGATCAACGTATTACATAAATAAATACAAACCGGCCGAAGTTCAACCAGGCGACAAACGGAGAGTACGAGTCCGCACACGTGGTGCCGTTGTAATGCGCTTGCGCATGACGTTCCCGCACCGGCGCCAAGTGCATCTCGTACAAGGGAACACACTCGCTCAACGCTTAGTTGTGATAGTCGTACGTTCGACACATCGCCCTGAATATATATTTATATTACAATATAACAGGTTATCATATGTTATTAAAAAAATGTTTAAAATATGGTTCTCAAAAATATAGGGAATCAACTCACCACAATAGGAAAAGCTGTTCTTATCATAGCTACTGGATTTCCGCCAACAACGGGCATTGTCGCGGGCTGGTATGGCGGCAAGACAGCGGGTTGCGGTGCTTGATTGAGGGGCGTGGCCGTATTGGTCGACGCCCACCCAGCCCACAACTGTGCGTTAGTCTGTGGTTGGCTAGACGCTGGCTGCAGTTTCTGAAAGAAATTATTTAACAAATTTGTTTAAAAGTGCTATATCTAACGTTACGGAAAATATTTATTTGTAACTATAGCACATAGCACCATCTGTCGTGGGTAGAGCCCAAGTTTTTTATCATTCCCATTTTTCAAACTTTACAATGGCAAATGTTGTAATAATACCTGTTTCCTATGATGCAGTTTAGAATGTGTGAGCTTTTGAGTGGGGTAGGGTGCAGCGCCTGCGCCTAAGTCATCGTCTACCCCGGATTGTAAGTGCTCCTCTAAAATATTAATTAGAATATAAAGTCAAACGACATAATATAGTAATTATAGATCGCGAGTAAAATTATTCTTATAATTAAAGATAGACATCAGACGACAGACTTCGTCTGAAAATCTGGACATTAAATGGGTACGAAAAATGTTGTACCTAGTGGGAATCGAACCTCCGACTCGTTGATTATTAACCATACATTGTTACCATTACACCAACGAGTCCGACAATGTAGGAAAGAAATACCTTTTATAACTTTCTTGATATAAGGATCTAGATTGATCGTGAAAGGCAAGAAAATCTTCAGATCAGCCGCGGTTAAAGTAGCTCGATGGAATGACAGAAACACTTCCAATTTACGTTCATCCCGATCCAACTCCAGGAGATTTCCAGCCTCACGTAAGCCGCTTATAAGGGGCTTCACCCTACAAATAAATAGAATTGGCTAAAAATTGTATTTAGGATTAAACAACACTCTCGATTTTATTCAACATCCTGGTCATCTGGAAGTAGTACCATAAATTAAATTACAAAATACTACTACTAAGATACTAGGGCTATCACTACACGGCGAAATTAAAACGAGTTGAATTATTATTAATGGGTTCAGTTACTTATCAATTATTAGTAGATTCAACTACGACCCGACGTTTGGAATTTTATCATAATAATCATAGTAACGTGTTGTACTTGACTTTAAATTTATGTATGTTGATTTGTTTATTTCTCGACAGGGGGTAGCTGTCAAGCCAAGTTCAAGTAACGGAAATATCGAACAGCAAATACACTAATATCACAAAATAAGAACTAGCCAAGTCAACCCTTGCGGTAAAATGAACTGTGTAATGTTATAAGAAATTATGTTTTACGTTGTTATGATTAAATAGTCACACTTGGCACCAATTTAGATCTCCCTTCCGAGTCTAAATCAACAGCCAAGGCATATTACTTGGCTCATTTCAAATTTGCATTGTAACTTCAATCAATAATAATGTACTTACTTATCATAAATATGTTTAAGAGACGTGGTGTCCTCGATGTGCTCCTCGTATGTTTCATGATGGTATATGATCCAGGAGGTGCGGAAGGGCCACTGTTCCGTGAGATTGACCCACGATGCTAGTTGGTACCAATTGAACTCGATTTGAAAGGCTTTAAGTAGACGACCTGAAATTAATATAAGGTAATTTAGATTACATTGTGAATATATTGGAAGTTTGTAATTATAAAGTAAGTAAATATGTATATTATAAAGCTGATAAGCGATATTGAAAATTTCATTTTGAGTTAGATAGATAATTTATCCAGAAAGCCTTTAGGCTATAAAACATCATGCTGCTATAAAATGTGAAGAAAAAGGGAGAATTATTCATCTACAAGGTGTTGTTACGTGTGCTGTGAAAACAGTTATGAAAGAATGATGTCCCAAGATAGAAGTCTATGGGACATACAGCGAACAATTTACGTACGGTATTCGAAAACCGAACCAACAATCAAAAACAATAAATTACAGTATTAATAGGAAATAGTAAATCAATAAAAAACCCATACCAGTAACATACAGTACATTCATAAGCCTCCTCATACTCCTAGGGTTGACATCGCTGAAGTAATCATCGGTCAACAGCACCCGACCAAGGTCCGCAGCTCCGCCAGCGGGCGCGGGCACAGCCCTATGCAGCCCCGAAGCAACGGATGACGCGATAGACTCCGAGGGACGAAGTCTCCGCACACTCTCTTTCGTCGCTTGAGGCTTTATCCGCTCTTGACTGGACATCAGTTCTGATGTTGATGATAGACGACGCGCTGATACCTAGTCGAAAAATGTTTGCAAGAAGTTCAGTAAACGTAGTTTAGGAGCGTAAAAGGGGAGGAAAAACAAAAATAAAAAAAAGTATTTTATATACTATTTTTCATACGACTAATAATAATAGACAAACATGCCAATTGAGGTGATTGTAGATGTGTCGGCGATTTATGTACGCACGCGTTGATCACGTAAACAACTACGATGCGGGTGTTAGTTCACATCCCTGAATACAGCTCAATACTGTTTGTTATAGTTTAGTGCGTAGTACACATTTAAATAAAACACTTTAACAGTTTAAAACGCAATATTATTTAAGCTTATTTGAAAATTATTTTAACAAGACCCGACGTTTCGGCTGCCTTTCCGTCGTCACGGGGAAACATCCGAAACATCGGTCCGTAGTTAAAATAATTTTCAAATACGGTAACTAATGTATATGGCGTTTTAAACCATTAATGTGTTTTATTTAAATATGACATCACTGTTCTTCATGAGTAAGAGATGAGAATTATAAGACAGTTACCGATCGCTGCAACGAGGTAGAGAAATCGTCAGCGGCGATGGTGTGCATCCTCTTAGTGGCAGTGTGCTGAGCGGTTTTGACCCTGCGTAATGCTGAGTTTTGCAGGTAGAACGGTAGCTGCACCATATTGCGGAGGTAGTCCCATCCGCCGATGTTGCTTTCAGATAGCGCGCGGCGGCTGTTTATTTCTACTGCCTGTTGTAAATGTATTTGTAATTAATGATACATATGTTATAACAATGTAAGTGCGATTGTTTGGGTTAGAACCTAGAAAGGTTCTAACCCAACGGAACACTGATTACTATTTGCTGTCTCCATTGAATCAACATTAATGATACTAAATAGGTACCTATCCAAAAGGTTAGTAAAAGAGCTCTATTACATCGATGTCTGTCAGAATGTCTGTTTGTCTCCAGACTGTATATTATCACAAGAAACACAATAGCTAGAGAGCTGAATTTTTTATATATCTTTTATTAGAACATTTTCATATTTTGGGTATATCTGATGCTGTCATAACAACAAAGCCTAAAAACGTATTTTTTTTTAACTTAGATTTTTAATTCAAATACATTTTTGCATATATCTGCTAGTACTTATAATAACATACAAAAGTCGTTTGTGTAGCTAGGAGATTGTAGGGAACCCTTCGTTCTAGCCTAACTTTCGATTTATTTTAACTAGTTAGAGATTAACCTCTAACTATTTTTTTTGTTTATAATTCACACAGCATTTGTTTTAATCTTCATTTGGTGTTACTCATAATTCTACCAAGATTTTATCTTTGTATGTATTCTTATACAACTAGCTCTGTGCATACATTGACCTAAATTCAATCGAAGTTAAGCAAAACCACATGCAATTCATACAACATCTATTGAAGGAACGAAAATAACTTAATCCAGATTGAAGCATGCAAGCACATGACTGCAGACGTTGGAGCACCGTTAATACTTTGGAATATTAGTGACAAAAGCGGCCTAAGTCTCTACCCACTGAGTACAACAACAGTGATAGTAGTTATATTTAATAAAAAACAAGTTTTTATTTGGAAAAATCACGCCATCAATTTTTTCCAATTTACAATAAAATACTTAACTGTATATTGTAATATGACAAACTGTAATAAATATAAAGTGTTCAACCACTGCTTTACTTTCGATTATTTTCCCTCCTTAACTTTCGCAACAAGTTTTCGAAACTGTAAACCACTGTCATTATACTATATAGGGTAGAGACTACCTTTTGAAAAGGCTCCACCAATATTTAATATTCGGACTAGGCCAAAAGTCTCACATAAGCGCAGTAGAAATTATTGGCCGATATAACCACGAGCGCTTTGTTTAGTAGCTTTTGAGTTGCACAGCTTTAGGCCTAACAGAATTTCCCAAACACTTTTTACAGAATTTGAATGCTCAGCCAAGCTTTGTACTTGTCACCTAATTGTTAGCTTTGAATAAATAAAATTTATTGAAGAATAATAACTATTGATTCTTTGAATACTTAAATATTATTCACATGTTATTGAACATGATGGCTTTATATAGATTAAAAATCTGTTTAAAGGTTAGAGCAGCAGAACACAACGCCATGGATACCGGTTCAAATCCCGTCTGACGTCTTTCTTTTGTATGTTTTTTTTTCAATCTAAATAGATTTTTAATGTAACTATTGAATCTTTTTGGGAAATTATGTTAGCTGCGAGCGGTTAGATCACGTCACTTGAAAACAGGGCTAATACAAATTGTACAATGCTATTCGCTAACGGAGACACGACACTCCAACTGACTAACCTCCATCCAAGCCACCTGCGCAGTGGAAACGTGTTAGAACCACACAACAATTGTTTTTTTAAGCTACATCTTTTCAAAAGCAACGAAATACTTGTTAGTGTAGAGAAGAAAATAAATTCTATTGCACTACGATTAAGTCATTATAACGCCTGTAGCGGTTTTCATGTTAAATGCAAAGACGATATTACTTATTATAAAAATAGCCAAACTTTTTATTGAGCTCAAGCTAGTTCCTCCTAAAATTTTTAACTATTTCGATTAATACAACTTTTAACTGTTTAAAGCGGTAAATATATAAGTTAAACCTTTGATTTTAACTAACCCGGTGTTTTAGGTGCTTTGCAGCAACCATGGTGACGGTGGTACAGAATATGGAGGGTGGCCCTTATATCAAAATCGTAAAAAATCAAGTTTAAACTGTTAAAAGTGCTTTATCTAAATGTGTCCTCCTCGCATACTACTGATGAATTTAAAAGTTACAAATATTAAAAAATGAAGACCTAAGTCTTAACCCCACTATCCGAAGCTACCTGTACGTATAAAGTAAACAAGAATACGTACCTTGCTGATGATGTGAGGGTCGATAGCGAGCAGCAGGATGAAAGGGCTCTTCGGGTCAGAGCAGAGGGCGTGAACAGCATTGAGCAGAGCGAGAACCTTCTCTTGTTCGCAGCTGTCTAGAGCGTCCACGACCACAACTAGACGTGTCTGTTGACCCGTGAACGCGTCCAGGCATGACACCTGAAAAATAGAAGTAAAAATTAAAAAAGGGCGCATTTTTATTTGTGTTTAAAAAAAGATTTCCTTAATTATACCGATATGAAATCATATAAGAGTACTTTGCATTTAGTTTAAGTTCCTAAAAGAAGTACTATAAAGCAAATATTTTTAGGGTCTTCTTTTGATTATAATCAAATCATAATGGATTTGATCCCCACGTGTTTATAATCAACATGTTCGGATCGAATCACAAACAGTTTAAGCTTGTGGATTTTTGAATATCCAAAACCAAAATAGGTCGCCAACACATCTTGTTGAGAACACTGTTATATGACTAGGATAAATCCATTTAGGTTGTCAACGCATTTTGTGGTCATCTTCCATCAAGTGAATCCTAAGTTAGTCATCCTTCCTCTATCATTCTCTATATGATCAAGTAAAAGATCATATTTTTGAAAACTTTAATATTTTTTACATGTTATTACACATGAAGGCAATATATAATTTTTCACGGAACACTGAGGATGCCGGTTCAAATGCTGCCCGAGTCGAAATTTTTTTTCAATTTCTTTTCGATTCTTAAATTAGATCATATTTGGTTAAGCAAGTTAACGAAAACTAATTCGCATCTCTATGTAAGCATTATGTGATAGCCTAAAAATCATACTTACAGTATGCGTAAGCGCTTGCACTTCTGGCCGAAGAGCCAAGACGTGTGCGTGGTGATCCTTAGCAGCCTGCCTAGCTATTCTCGCGAGACGAACTCTGGGCGGGATGGCTAGAGCAGCGAGCGCCCTCCCAGCTGTGAACACGTTCGCGAGCAGCAACGCCCCGCTAGCTGCGCACGCGCCGATCAGCAGACCCTGTTGAATGTCACGCCGCCTGATCGACGACGACCCTCTCTCACTGAGCCGTCGTTGCTTAATATTACAGCTATTTAATCCTAATTACGGCTCGAAATATTGGTATAGCTAAATTAGCTTTACTAGTGTCAAATAGAGTATGAAATAATGATCTACTTCAAAAAATATTAGTATAGCGAAATTATGGATGGTGTTATTCTTACGATTGTTCCGCGCCGGTGTCACTCAGGTATATAGTGAGTATACACATCGCAAGCAAAAGGCAGGTGAAACATACTTCGAAAGTGACAATGTGCGGTACACAGCACGCCCGTCGCCATCTGCAACGAAAAATTAAAACTTAATTAATAGCACTGACAAACTCAAGAGTTTGTATTGTTGGTATTCATATTTTGTATTATTACTATGTATGCTTTTAAAAAGTTTTATGTATTACCGAATAAAACTGAAATGCAGATTGAATCTACGCTGCTTGCCATGTGTAGACAGTAGGTAACAACAAGAACAGAACTTCTATATTAATAATACCTATTTCCAGAAAATAGATTTTCCATCCATCTACTTTCAGTAGAATTATTAAAAACTAATTGCACCCTTTGGGAATCAAGATCCGTTTATTATGAGTTACGCTACCATTGCACTATCAAAAGCCTAAAAATAAGATCTTACTTCCAACCCGAAGTAGATGAAACCGGCTTAGGTCGAAAAGCGCGTGCAAGTCGCGTACACGCGCGTCCGTATTGCACCTCCAGCGCCTCAGCAAGGCTTGCGATCATTTGGACAACCATCGCTTCGCTCTCCTGACCACTACCGCTCTTCATACCCTCGGTGAAGTGAAATCTAAAATGTTTAATGATACAATTTTCACAAAAAATTCCACGTACATTTCAAATTCACAAGTCTAAGCTGTTCTAGGGATTAATTCGTGCAACATATTAATATCTAGATGTAGTCTTACAAAAAATAATTGCTTATAAGAACTTAAAAGGAGATTTAATTATATACTTGAGATATTAAAGCAGTATGAAACGTATTGTATAAAAATTTGGCCCTTTGAGCCGGTGTAACCTTGGACAATTCTGAAGAGTTAAAACAGTTTTTTACCTAATCGGTGTCGCTGGCAATGCTCTGGGGTCATTCGGTCCCGGCGGATGACAGAATACTACTTGCAACACTAGCAACAGCGAACTGAAGCGTTTTCCCATCGCCGATAATACTCCACCAGCCCACCACCATTCATATCTGAAATAAATTAACTTATTACAGCGATAAATATTAACCGAAGAGGTTTTGATATTTAAACGATATGAATTTAAACATCAAAATTTAATAATATTTCTGCTTAACGTGCATTAATTTAAGCTATAGCTTCGTAATACAAACTAAAATTTGGCCTAGCTTGTTTGCTACTGTATTGTTGTTGTATTTTTTAATATTTATTATTTGGAAAGGTTTTAAGGAGGTACCGATATATGGATCCTGAAAAAAATAAATAAAATACTAACCTATGCGTTAAATACCAAAGCGTATAGAGTGCGAGGTATATAGCAGCAAACAGAACGAAGCAAAGCGCAAGCGCTATATATGGCGGTGTGCCCGCAGCAGCTGCAACAGCTGCTAGCGCTAGCGCCGCGTGCCAGGCACTCCACCAGACCGCCCACGACCATGACCAACCCGTTTCGCTCCATTGCCGGGCGAAGTTCTTCATTTCCTCTACGAATTAGAAAGAGAAGTAGAAGGAAAAAAATATAAGTGTTGTACTACAGAAGTATTAATTGAACTACAACGATACACACACATGTTAATGCACATGAGAGCTTTTAAACATTATTTTTTAATTAGATATGATCAAGACCCGCTTGTTTTATATTATTCAATATAAAACTAATTCTGGAAAAACTATCAGATATATAATGATAGTGTTGAAAGAAGAGAACGCGGTAGTCGTGAGCTTAGGTCGACACGTGTCGTACATTTTTCAAAAGTAATCCTTTTGAATACATACATTTGAAATAAACACATTTTCATTCTTCTCATGGTTATTTTTCTTATTATTTAATTAAAAATGAGAAAAGCATACCTTTTAACTTATTAAGCAGAAAAGACTTTCCGGAACCCCATCTTGCAAACAAACCAACAGTAATAGGTACTGACAGGCTCGGTTCAGACAGCATGTCCGCCAGGGCAGCACTATACAGCTCATATCCCAGCATATTCTCGTTATCTTCATTCGTGTTCAGCTTCCGAGCGCCAAATATCTGTCCTAGTATCGTCTTATTGTAACTCATATCTATATTATACGGTGTCTCGTTCAGTTTGTTTGGCTTGTATAGGAGTTGACTATTTTTCGGATTCCTGAGAAGTATTTCTACTATTTGCTGAAAGATAAAATAGAGGTTTGATTATGACATTTGTTTTTATATCAATAGCTCCTGGATTCTATTCGACATTTTTGTAATCAATTTAGATTTTTTTAAACATGTTGGACTTCATTTGAAAATCTGGATACGGCCACGAACCACCACAGATGAAAAACATGTTTCATGCTATGATTTTCGAATATCCAAAGCCCAAGTTCAACAGAGTGTCAGCTTTGGATTTTATGCCTGGGGTATTTCGTCTACCATCAAGTGAATTCCCAGATGTCAATTTGATTGTATAGTTATGTATAAATGTTTTAATTAACACTTATAACTTACTTTAGACCTAGCCCTCATTGCTATATGCAGGGCTGTGTCTCCGCGGTTATCAGCGACATTCACACGAGCTTTACGTTCCAATAACAATGCCACCATTTCCGCGTTCCGCGAGCGTACAGCTCGCAACAATGGTGTGTCACCAGTCTGTAAACATAGACAAACATTTGAAAACTTAGATATTTTTACAATACAAGTAGTTGGAGTTTGCGCGAACAGTGACATTTAAATCAAACACGTTTAACGATTTAAAACGCTAAATCTATCTATCATTAATCTATATCTATAAATAAGTAATTTATTTCGTGTTTTAAACCGTTAAAAGTGCGTTAAGCCTTAATAATAGTGCGCGCACGCACGTACGTTTATGAAAGTTTCCTCTCGGGAGTGTGTTACTTATTTAAAAGTCACACAACTTACAATCGTACAATGTTCCAGATCAGGATTAGACGCGAGCAGCAATTTCAAAATGGCGACATGTCCCTTCTCCACAGCCGTGTACACCGGAGTCTTCTTCTCCTTTCCTGGCAGGTCCACATCCACGTGCTTTTTCAGCAGAGCCTCCGTTATATGCTTGTATCCACCTTTTACCGCTTGGATGAGAGGCGTGTCCTTTGAATGGTCCTGGAAAATAGATAATTGACTGTTAATAGAGCAGATAAGGACATACTGTAGATATACTTCAGACAATGATGAAGTAGTAGTGGATGAACATTATTATATCTTTTTTATCTGTATATCCCTATATAATAAGAGTAGTAATAGATTAAAATATCTCTAGATGTGCACGCTTTCTCCACATTGCGATTTTCCTCTGTATTGTGTCGTTGGTTTTTTACATTTTATTATTAGATATATTAATAGTTATTGAAAAGCAATGGTGTTACCTGAACATTTATATACGCCCCGGAACTGATCAGCGCTAAGGCGATGTCATAGAAGCCTTCTTTGCAAGCTGTGGCCAGTGCGGTGCATCCGTCCTTGTCTAACGCGTTCACGTTCGGTTTGTGCTCTAGGAGCATTTGGACTATTTCGAAGTGGTTGCCTGCGGGAAACATGCACATTGATACTTAGCTTTTTGGGTATGTACACAAACAATTACATGCAGACGTCCAGACCGTGAAATACTTTATTAAAATACTGGCTGTGTCAGCGACTTTGTTCGGGCATCTAAATTTGTTTTTTGCAAACCTTCTCCTCGTGTTTATAAACTTAAGCTGTTACCCCCGACGTCGCGTCCCAACGTTCTTACACGTTAATCTTAAATCAATTTTTTTAATTTGTTGGGTATTTCGAACCGTTTTCGCAGCATTCGAAAACCTACAAAGATAAATAATTCCCATTTTTTCCACGTGTCCAGCTGTTCTACGCTTTAGTCACAGCATTTGCAGCAATGCTTTATTCATTTTATAGAGTTAATTTTAAGTTATATTTTAAAAAGTATTATCTGTAGTTTACGCGAGTGGTGCGCATTAAATGAAACATACTTATACTTATTTAAAGGATCGTTTCGTAAAAAGTAAAATAACTAAATAAAAAAAAAATTAAGACATAAGCGGGACTTGAACATGTGAATACTGCACAGCGTTCCGTGTTGCTGCTGAATAACTAATATTCTCTTGATCCACCATGCACATCTCGCGCAATGCCATTTTTATTTTTTATATGCAAATATGTAAAAATATAAAGTTGATAAATGACTAATAAATGTCACGCTAAACTGCTAGATTTTTAATTAACTGCATTTTTTCAATTCAACAAACAAGAAGAACAAAAGTAAGCCTTAAGGGTGTAACCGGAAGATTTTCATCTTATTAAGATATAATATATAAATAAATCTAATTGTAGACAGTCCATAGTTTTCTATGTACTCACACCTTACATTTAACTAAAGTAATGCTAACGTCCAATAAGATATTTAATTATAAAACATATTTATTTGAATTAGGTTATGACACCATTTTGTGCCAAGACATCCATCATCGCTAATGATGTGGACGGTCTGGCAAAATATGTGATGCGATTTGAAGGTAAGGATAAATATTATGCTAAGATTATCGTTAAGATATTTACTACCCAAAGATATCCAGACAGTTTTAAAATCAAACTAAATTTAGATATTATAATTCACAGTACGATAAAAGATAAAACACTCAAATATTTGTGAATAGAAAAAAATCACACAGCTTACGACTTACGAGTAGACAGTAATGCGTACAAGTCCCGCTATAATCTTTCTTTTAATCAAAAAAATGTGTCGTGTATTGTCTGTTTACGCGAGTAGGTAGTATTTATTGAAATAAAACCACTTATAAACGGAATTATAAAAGCAAATTTATTTTATTTAATTTACGGCCTGACGTTTCTTTTAGGGATTTAGCAGCCGTGGGCAAAGGGGGACACGTTGCTGGAAAGCACATAATATATTTCGTGATTTAATCCGTTAAAGTTTTTTATTAAAAAGCTATCATCTTAAAAAACCTGTGAAAAGTAATAATACTCAACGTAACAGCTATTAACGTAAATAATCTTATCAAAACAAACCGCAATTAACAACTTAAAAATTCTTATCATACTACTTAGCACCAACAATAAATGTTTATAACGTCGTTACAGAAGTAAACAAAACTACTTGTTAGTAAGTTGTTATCGTTATCTGGCTATAACAAGAGGAAAATCAGTTTGGATAATTTAGTTAACAAATACAATTCCGGTAATTATATATTTAAGCCACTATAGTAAAAATAACTAAACGCTTTTTACATTGAAACCTTAACACTAATATGTTCCTCTTGTAAGTTCGTTTCAACCTATTTGCGTCCAATTGTTGGGCACAGTTATTCTTTAATTTAGGAGAAGTCACTTAAGTAATTCCACCAAAGTAACATTTTGCCTAACCCAGGAATCAAACTAGACCATATAATAAGTTAAGCCATAAAATTGCAGTTAGGCTAATCTGCCTCTAGCGGCCCGATATATAAGTTAAATTCAGCGCAGCGGAAACACTAAGATCTAAATAGATTTTGGCGACTCTAAAGTAAAATCTGTCAACACCAACGATTCCGATAATACCGAAAATTCTATTCTGCAACTTCATAAACAAGAGCGACGCGATTATTATTGCATTTTGCACTTTGCGCAGTATTTCACTTATTCTAATAAAGAGCAAGGCCAAAAACATTCTTTGTAGTTTATGCGACAGTAGTATATAAATATTTTGCAAATAAAACTGCTAAAAAACATCAGAAACGTCAGGTTCTATCATTCAACTAAAATAGCGCGTTTTAAACCGTTTAAGCGTTTTCAGTGTTATATAACAATTTCGAGTTTGGTAGTCGTCTGCAGAGTTATACAAAGTTATGTTAGACAAATATTTATTTAAACCTTATGACTATAAATATGTTAGTTGTTGTTATATTAAGACATAGAATTTTCATGTATTTTGAATACCTTGAGTAGCTTGTAAGAGAGGTGTCCAGCAGTACATTCCAGCAGTGTTGGGGTCTGCGCCCGCACGTAACAGCGCCGCACACGCAGTGACGTCACCCGCTCGCGCCGCCCACGTAAGTGCGGACGTGCCATACTTATCGCACGAGTTCGGACGAGCACCTGCAGCGAGGAGGCGTTGGACCACACCGCTGTGATGACGACCCGACGCCCATACTAGGGAACTGTAACGAACGTTTTGTACTTTAACAATAATGTTATATTAAGTGTTATATGTGAAATTCCAGTAGGAACAGCCTTAATCTGCTGACCGTGATCACATCTGCTATACATCTCGCGTTTTGATCCGTTAAAAAGTGTTTTATTACAATGTGAAATCCCGTTTTCTCCTGCTTATCACGAGTCTAAACACATTTTTGTGCCGTTTAACTGATTGATTTCATTTATAGGAAAGTGGTGATCAGAAAAAAATTTTAGTGAGTGCATTCTGAACGTTGCTCTAACTAACGTTTGAGTAGTCTATACAACAAACACCAAAAATTAAAAAATAAAAGGAGTATTTTCGGGCTTATAACCGTGCGAATAAAAATTGTATGTTTTTTAAAAACGTGTGTATCCCCAAAAGTTTTCCTCGTAACCTTAACAAGATGTCTTCTATAAAAAAGATTACTAAGAACCCAATGTATATATCCGCGTATTGTTTAAAATACAATGACGTATCGAATTGTAATCCAAGTTTGCATTTTGTTACTATCTCAAGTTCAGATTCCAAACGGTACACATTTAGCAAACAAGCAAGCTTAAGATACCGTGTTGAAACATAATAAATATTATCAGGATTAGAGTTACAGCAATTAAATGACGACGTTAATAGTAATGAGAAACAAATGACAACACGCAGAGATGGCGGTAAGCCAAGAGATGTATGAATGAGTACGTCTATTCAAATGTTAAACATCGATTTTTAACGACACGGGCGGGTCTTGAACCGGCATCTACAGCGTTCCGTGCCGTTGCCCCAATAACGATGTTCCGTTTTGTAACGCTGTAATAAGCCATATAACCTAAAACTAACTTCTTAATTGAATTTTTAAATGAAAAACTTATTATTTATTAATCGGATACAATTGTATAAACACAGTAATAATTATCGGGCATTAAATCATTTTATAAGCGACAAACCATACAGTTCCAAAATATAACAAAACATATAATGTCTGTAATTAACGCGAGCAATACACGCCTAGTTTAAAACGCGAAATATATTAGTTAACTTATTCACAATTGATTTAACTACGGCCCGATGTTTCAAATGCTTTGCAGCAGCCGTGGTCGCAGGGTGACCCATGGAGAGGGGGGCGCTGTAATGACTTAACCAATGTTTTTCACGTGTAAAAAAATAAAAGTCTTTTATTAAAATATAAGTAAAAATCTTAGTATTTTTAAGCTTTGTCTGTAATTTTAGTTAAGGCTTGTTCTAATACTCACTTGATATTATAATTCCCATGTGCGTGAACATCGGCTCCTTTCTCCAAGAGCAAAGCCACAATATCTTCGTGTCCCTTATAAGCAGCCCACATAAGCGGTGTCCAATTGCCCTGTAAGTAAATAATACTGCAAAAACTGTTTGGTCTAATGGTATTCTAGCGATGCGATAGGACAGCAGTGAAGAATATCGACTTTGTATGGTAGAGGACATGGTGATAGATGAAATAGTCAAATGTATACTAATATTATAAGGCTGATGGTTTTATTGATCGCACTGATTTTGGAAAGCACTGGTTTGAATGAAATTATTTTTGTGTTGAATACACCATTTATCGAGGAAGGTTTTAGGCTAAAAAAATCACGCTACGTCCGATAGGAGGTAAAAAAAACAGTAAAAATATGAAAAAAAAAAACGCGAAACATGTTTGACTTCGTTAGAAAATCTGGATATAGAATGCATATTGGAATATCTAAATTATTTTTGTGTCAAGAACCAAACCAAATAAGTCAACAGCACATCTTGTTTAAAGGTGTTATCCACGACGTCTAATCTTGAATGATAGACACAAACGATCGCGGACATTTTAGAACATTGAATTCCTCATATACACATATTTTTTGGGTATCATAAACTGCTTTCAAAGGGCACGCAACTATCCTTACTTTCTTCGCTCCTATTAGTCGCATCGTGTTGTTTTAAAGCCTTCCTCAATAAATGCTCTAAACAATCCAAAAATCATTTCAATCTGATTGCGATTAGGGCGTTCAAACAGACAGACTCTTCGGCTTTATAATATTAGTACAGATGTAGCTCTTTGGCCGCGCAAAAATATCTCGACAATAATTACAATATAACTATTTTTAAGTCCATTGTTCTATAAATATGTTGTTTATGACCGAGGCTAGTTCAGTTTGTATATGCACATACGATTTAAGAATATATGGATGTCACTGATCTCTTGGCAGGTTTCCACCTTAATTATAAATACACAAATTTCAACTGCACGCTCGGGGGAACAATTTGGTCATTGCTCTATTGTGAATATTAGGTCAAGACAATGGGACAGTTTTTCTTTTAGTTATCGCGTTAGAGGACGCCCTCAGTGAAAAGTCGTTTCCTTCGTGGGCATCGGGCTAACACATTACTGTGTCCGTTTCATTGATCGGTTGTATTTTTTTTACTAATAATTAAATTAATTCAGTTTTAGAGTTATGCTAATTGACCCAAGAGGCTGTTTATCAACTATATCGAATTGTCGTTTCAACCCCACTGCAGCCTGCGTTACCACCACGCTGTACCAGTGTGACACTTAATACTTCCATGTGGAATCTGGACTGGTACCGGTGCAATAAATTATCCCATTAAAAACATAAACGTAAAAAAGTGGAGCCTAACTCAAAACAAAAATTGTACTTTGCTTCGCCGTAACAATAATGGAGACCTAAATGAGTGCCAAGTTCTATGCAAAATCACTTATACGAAATAAATACTGTTATGAACGGTAATAAACTCAATTTCTTTGCTTTATTGGATATGAACAACAATTGCTGTTATTATACAAATTCAAATCTGGACGTAAATAGTAGTAATTTTCGCAATCAGAGTATTATGTCTACTCCAGTGTTAACAACATTATTTTTTATACATAAGACATAAGAAGCGTAATGCATAATACAAAACAACACAAGGTATACAACTGAGTCGCAAAAATAGTTATTACTAAAACATTAGCGAAACTACGAGTACTATGCAGCGTCTTTTTTTTATTCATATTTGGTTCTTAATACTCACACAATCCCGCGAATCTACCGGCGCACCAGCGTCCAGCAGTTCGCCTACGACGGCGAGGTGTCCGGCGCGCGCCGCAAACGCAAGGGACGTCCATCCGTCTACGTCAGCTGCGCACGCGTCGGCGCCCCCACCGAGCAACAATCGGACCGCCTCCACGCGTCCTTTCTCACTCGCGCACATGAGCGCTGTTGTGCCGTTCTGTACCACAACAAACAAAATTATAATTCTGCTTAATATAATTTAAAAAATGAACGGAACGGCACTTAACGGTTTAAAATGTAGGAAGCGTTAATTGTGCGTAAAACATATTAGTCACATGGCTTGCAGCAGACGACAGCCACTGCAGCTGCAATGTATACGAAAAGTCAGTTACAATAAATTTTATTAATTTACAGTTGTTTCAATGGGTATTTTTTGGGTGTATAGAGCGGTGGGCACAGTGGGTTTGTGGTTGTGCCCCATAAGTAACCGAAACATCGAGCTGTAGCTAAATTAAATTTCAAACACCTTAGTATATTTCGCATTTTAAACCTTTAAAAGTGTCTTATTTAAAAAAAGGCCCGTATTCTGGGGAGGGGAGGGGGGCCTCACAATTCTGATGGCTTGAAATTTGATCTTTAGTCGTGAAGTGAAATGACTGTTTTTTTTTTGTGTTTTAGTCGGTTAAGGAAAAATGGAAATCATGGGTTCTCTACAAACACTTATTTAGCCAGCGTGATAGCACCAAGAGGATCAAGATCGAGAGATGACACTGACAGTCCGGTGGTATGTCCCATCGCGGGATCTCGGTTGGTGTATATAAAGCCTTACCTCATCCCTATCGTCGACATTGATATTCTTGTTCGCCGCGAGGTAGTTCTGCAGTTCGTTGCCATCGTTGTTGATCAGCTGAGCGAGCGTTTTGAAGCAGGCAAGTGACACCATGGACTCGCTGCGGTGGAGGCTCTATTGATGCGGAACAAAACACAATCGTGATCAAGCAATTGTTTTAAAAACGCTAATTTAATTCAATGCCACACGCATGACAAATTCCAAATTTCGCACACAACAAAATAACCTAGCGAATACATTTGTTTTCATTTCCCACATGTGGGCACTGGCCTCCCTCCTTGGGCCCACTACCCTGGTGATAAATAGAATAGCTAAAATCACTCTCCGTTGAGTCATTCTGACAAAATAATTTGTTTGCTAGTAAATACAAAATACTCAGACACAAATAATCTCTAATAACAAAATGCGTCTTATTACATATCTGCGTTATAAAATCGTAAGAAAATTAATAGATAAGACGTGTAGCGTAAAAACTAACTATAGACATGATATAATATTATAAACAATTTCGTCATAATAATATTTCAAAAGGGGTTCAAGAAATTTCTTCAGTTGGTTAGAACGACCACATGCTTATTAATAACTTTAAAACCAGGATAACACAATATTAAAAAATTATGTTTGTTATTATTGTTATGGTAACAAAGTACAACACCTCAGCAGCAGCCTGCAAACTCCAACGTATCATTCCGTTCAGGCACTTTAAAAAACTCGGTTATTAATTGAAAGAGAGAGCACAGAAGTCAAGATACACAGCACGTTTGCACGGCACAATCTACAAAGCTGGTAATGAACATCGCATACCTATAGACACAATGATAAGGGGCGATATCGCAAGGATATTCCACTAAATTGTTATGGTGCGAGGGATTAAACGGCACAGTATCGCTTAGAGCTGAGCTCTTTTGTTCTCTAGCTACCTGAATGTGTACCTCATTACATACAATACCATTAACGACCCAAAGGTAAACATTTGTTTAAGAAGGGATAAAAATTGTTGCGATACTATCTTCAGACCATGCGTTCGTTAGTGGCTATTCGTCTAAAATGCTTTGTTAAGATCGAACTGCAAAACTTTCACACCGGCCACATATCCTGGTGCAGACCATGTTAGAGTGTCGACGGAGAGCGAAGCCGTGGAAGGGGAATCCATGGCTGAAGCGGCGTCCTTCCCCCGGTGGAGCCGTGACCGTGAACCGCGGCACGTTGAGGTGCGCACCCGCAGACAACGGACCGGGATGATCGTTAGCTCCACTGACGTGCAGATGAAGGAACGACTGGCGACGCCGCTTGTTATGCATCGAGGGCGGCATCAGAGTCGCACCAGCGATGCTATTGCTCTTCGCCCGTCCAGGGGGAGGTTGCTCCTCCGCTCCGCTCACCTCCGATATATCTGAATAATCGGATTTCACTGTTCTATCAGACCGTTCCGACGCAGCGGGACTGGATTCCCTGTCCGACGGAGAGCACTCCAGAATCGCCTCCAGGGACGATTCCGGGGACTCCGGCGGTCGGGACACATTCCTAGGCTTATGTATGTTCGCAATAAGACACCGTATGTGAACGTATTCGTTGTCACCACTCGCGGGTAACTGCGGACGGTACATGGCAGCGATCCGTACTCCCGCATAATAATTAATGGGAGAGTGCCGCCCGTGATAGATTTCCGCGAGACGTGACTAACTCCCGCGGGGAACACGGCCCGTCTCGAGTGATGCCGTTGGGCGGATACTATTTAGAGCGCGGCGCGTCTCAGGGCGGATGTAGGGCGGGCGATGAATGAGACGGGATACGTACAAGAGAATACGTGCTGTATGAACGTAAAGAGATGCGATTGAGGATCGCGACGGCGGTGGACTGCGCGGCTCGCTCCGAGGGCACCATGATGCGGAATGACCGGTCAGACTGTACGTGAATACAGACGGACAGGCCCTCCCCACCGATAAATCAGTTTCATGGTGTTTTTTTACTTGTTGTCTATAACGTGCAAACGCTAAGTGAAATAATAAATATTGATCCGAACAATGAATCTTTATGTGAAATGGTCTACGGCTGATTGTATCAAAAAACTGTACGTTTAAGGTTTGAATTTACACAGTAATCATATCAATAAAATATATATTGAGCAGATTTCGTCGAAAAAATATTGAAAACAATACAATCTTTACATGTTTATTCAAATTATCTATATTAATGTTAAAATGCTGAAAAGTTGATTTGTTGAACGCGGTCATCTTAGGAACTACTGGTTCGAACGGAAAAATTATTCATCGAGGGAGGTTTTAGAAACGGTGAAAAATGAGGTAAAAACGGGAAATTTTAATTTTTGAAGGATTCCGTTGCGTCTGCTGCGAAAACGGCTTAAGAATAAAATAATGATTCCTCTTTAATGATCTAAAAAAATGTCCGTAATAGTATATGTCTATCTTTTGAGATTAGCTCGCAGGAACCGTTTTTATCGTAATCAAATGTTACTAATAGTACTATTACAGATATATTTTTTTGTTAGACTTGATTGAACATCATAATAATCTTGCAAACAACAAAACAACGTAGGCTGAATCAACTAGTATAATTATGATACATTTAAAATTTATTGAGAAAAGAAAAGAATTAATACAGACGGGGGACTCGAACCCTAGACAATTGCTTTACCAGCGTACTGAATTTCTAATAATTAATTTATCGAAAACTCGTTTAACTGCACAATAAATCCTACAAATATTGTAAGTCGTCAAACTATTTCGAAAATGATTTCCTTGAAACGCCAGCGTTTGAGATTTTGTGTCACTTCCTGATTCACTCCCCGAATTCAATATCATTATTTATAATTATAGGTCGGCCCATGAGTCGATTGCAATGTGATTCTAATAGTTAATCTATTTTATAATTTGCCTGGACCTTAGTTAAAAAATAAATAAGCCAAGCGCGAATCGGATTGCTTTTAATGTGATCCGTAATATGGACTGCTAAATAATATAATACCCGGTGTATTATATATACCCTGGTGCAGAAAGTTAAATTGAGAAAGTATTTTGTGAATAATTTAAATGCCTATAATTATTAATATTGACTCATTCAATAGAGGAAACAGACAAGCAATTCACTCGATGGAAGGTGAAATATTCTCCTTCCATATAAAATTACAACACGATTAGCTATCGACAAATTTAAGCTTTGAATTGAACTTAACGGCCGTTAAATCCATGGACGGTGGTCCGTAAACCTGATATTCCAAAATCCTAAAGAAAAATTATAGATTATGTGAAAAATGTTGAATCCATTGATTAACGGTACATTTATTTATTTATTACATTGCTACCATTCGACTAGTTGTTCTAGCAAAATAAAGAATGTAAAAATGTTAACAGTTCTGTTTGCGGTTTATTTAGAGTCTAATAGGCATAGGCAGCTATGCGGAGCTGACTTTGTTACGGGACCCTAACAAGCAGAATCGTCGCAAAGGTGGTTCTGACTTGAGGCAAAAAGAATAACGGCTATACAAGATTAATAACCTCACAGTTATGCACCACGCTGTGAGATGCCAAAAGAACGGACGAGATCCTCAATTCGTGCCTACAAAATATCTTTCAGCGAAATCAATGCATATAAGAGTTCTTAGTACAAAAAAAACGTAATTGTACACGAGTACATTTTTTTTGTCTTAAAGAAGATAAGATATTCCTTGACCATATAACATAATTACGAATATAAGTCTAAACATCGCATCTGGCGCAGGCGCGGAAATCAACAGCCTGAAACCATAGGATTAACCACTTCACGACCTTTCTATTTGTGAGCGGTGTTCCGCGACCCGGACGGATTTTTTTTTATCCCTTTAGTATCTATGTTTTTCCATACGAAGTTCAAGTTAATATGAAAATCAGTGTTGTAGCGTATCAGACCTGGAACTTACGCTGACTCAAAACAGTTTTGGCATTTCTTTTCTTCTAGTTTAACTTAATTATATCTCTTGTGATTACTATAATTTTAACATTATTTATATTACAATAGATATAAATATATTACAAATGAATTGGAAAAACACATTGGCCTCGGTGGAAATCGAATCTATGACTATTCAACCAAATTGCTATCGACAAAGCTAATTCAAGTTTTCATTAATAAACTATATTGTATATGCTTTTGTGTTCCACTCTCTCATAGAACAATAGTAATAAAACCTTAATAGATTAAATTAATAAATAAAAACCTTGCCCAGCGTCCTCTTTAACGATGCGACTCGAAACATCGCGTAGACCTCTACAGCATTTCTCAAAATTAATTCTCTATTATACACTTGTTCGCGTTACCGCTTTAACTATAATGCACGTAATATTATCTCTAACGCGCATAAGTAGCCTCAATATTATGTGTTACGCTAAACCAAAGTTTGTTTTAGGATAAACTTGTTAACTTTGCTTTATATCATGTGAAATATATTCATTGTACCAACATCCATATTTTACTTTAGTCCATAAAGCATGAGCTGATAATGGGGTTTGTTATTCAACAATTATGACTGCGGTATCTAACTTAATACATATTAACTTTAGGCGACCTTAGATCTGCGTACTTTGTGGCTTGGAGAATAATTATAGCTAATTTTAGTTGAGAGAACAAACGTCAAGACAAAACTTTATAAAAGACAATTCTTTAATTTATAATTGCGTTGTCGTAACTGTTAACTAATTATAAGTGGCCAAGAGCTAGTAAGTTTCTTGCAAGACGGGTTCCAGACTAGAAGTGGTACACAAATTTTATATAATATCTTTATATACTGTCTATAGTTTACGCGAGTGGTACACATTTGAATAAAACACTTTAACGGTTTAAAACTCGACATATTAGTTAAACTTATTTGAAAATGATTTTTAACTTCGGTCCGAAGTCTCCCCGTGACCACGGCTGCTGTAAAGCATCCGAAACGTCGGGCCGAAGTTAAAAATCATTTTCAAATAAGTTTAACTAACATATCGCGTTTTAAACCGTTAAAGTGTTTTATTTAATATCTTTATTTGAGTTACTCTAAGTGCCTACCTGTTAACTTTTTTTTACGATAAAGGTGGTCAGTCAAGCGTGAGGTTCACATGATGATATGTAAAAAACAGAGCCATATAACATCTAAACAAGATGCTCTGTCGACCTGTTGGCTTTGGATATTCGGAAATCCACAGACTGAAACTGAAACACGACTAAACTTGACGGCTTTTCCACATGTGGAGGGTGATAAAACCCTAATGCTAATAATAAACTGGTCCTAACTTCCACCCCCACCGGATCCAACATCACATCCAGGTTGGATATTAGAGACCGGTAGTAATATTAAAAGTGCGTCCAGGTCACGAAACACCGTCCACAGATGAAAAGGCAAGTGGAGTTTAATCGCATTTCGGTTTTAGGTTTATTTCTGAATATCTAAAGTCAAAATAGGTTGATGGAAGGTAAAAAAAAGGTATAAGTAATAGGGTTCCATACAGAGGTCTACAAACCCTGAGTAACTAAACAATGGTTTTGTGATATAAAAGCAACATCGCTTAGCGCGAATTCAAGTATAATTCAAGATCGGAACCCATCGTAACCTACCTCATTATGCATTGATTCTCTAAACGTATCCCTCACGAACTTATAGTACGGAAGCACACTGCCATAACTCCGCGGCACTCTAATAGGAAGCACTAGAGGATGTCTCTCAGAACTTGTCGAAGGTCGATTGAACCATGAAAGCATTTCAAGACAATCTGTGCACGCGCATCCACATCACAAACACAAATAGATAACAGTCACGTGTAACGTGTCACTTGTATTTGCACAAGAGGGTAGGCGGGTAAAGAATTGTGTTACGCCGATGTCCTGTGACCCTCGCTACATCGCAAGTATTGATAACGGCTGATTGGAGTAATACTATTTAATACAGGGGCGCTTATCAATCCTATCAGTCGGTTGTTTGTTGTGTCCTACTCGTGGGTTCGGCGTTTACTGAACCTAGAATGTACGAACGAACCATGTCGACTCGTTTATGTTATAAGAATTGTAATAACTCAAAAATATTTAATCCACTGTACTATTCATTAAAATATTATAGTTAGATTTAAATTTAGTTTAATTCAAAAATGTACAAACAGATTTTAAAGCGGCCTTTGAAATTAGACAAATATATCGTAAAGCGCCATCTAACGAAACACCTAGACATTACTTATAAATCAATAACACAATCACGCAACGAAGATTTACAACCTGTTGTAACAACTAGATGGCGTTCAATCGAAAATAGCAGGAAAGGCAAATTTAACTTTATTAATGAAACATGTTAAAAATATACAAAAAAATACTAATAATGGGCCGCAGACGATAATTAATGAAATGGAAATATTTCAAGGTCCCGCACATTGTTGACAGTACGACTAAAAGCAGACCAATGCATCACTTATAGTTCGAGTTGTGAATAATGGATTTGTTTGTGAATACAAATCAGAAGACATACGGCTTTATACTCTGTGTTATCATTTAATATTCATTTAATCGTATAAAAGTACTCTAACAGTTTAAGACGCCTTAAGTAATTATTACTTTTCTTGTCTATTTGTGTATTGGAGTATTGGGAGCC